TTGTTTGTTTGTTTTTACTTTGGATCACTTTGAAGTATTAGAATCAAGAATCAGGGAGAGGTTCACAATTAGCGTGGATTGGGAATGGCAGATCACATTTTACGCCGACCGAAAAAAAATCTGGCGGGAAAGAATAGGGAAGTGGGTGCACTCTTCTGACGCTTTGCCACAGGGGTTATTATGACGTCAATCCCCATGCCCAACACATTGATTGTACCCTCTCACTCTCTCACATTCCCCCTGTATGGGGTCCGTATCATCCTTCACCATCGGTATTTGAAGAGCTTATTAAAGCGTCAACCTCTAGCTCGAATTTCTTTGCATTGGGTCAACTTTTCCTCTTTAGTCGACGCGGTCGCCTTGTTTGCATATGTTTTTATCTCAGGCGCCATTTGGGCATGTTGTAACAAAAAGCTGTATAATTTGGTTGAGGCCCTTGGTTTGGCCTAGAATCGTCAAGAGCATTTTTTTCCTGTCGAGATGCAGCAAAAATATCATGATTTCAATCTGTTGTGACAGAAAGGAATGACACTCATAAATATGATCTAAAATCAACTGGGAGTAGCCAGTCAGGACTTTCAGAAACACTGACTTTTTTGTTTCTCGGTGGTCTTTGTGGTCTTTTAGGGGGTTGGTTTCTTTCTGTTCTTTGTTTATTTTCACTTAATGTTTTGAATATCTAAATGTTTTTATCGATCACAATGATGTATTGCCATCATTAAGTGTGCTCTGTACTTTTTAACGACAAAAGAAAAGCACAAAAACTTTTCAGAATGCTTCCACACACTTTTGGCGACTGTGTACGGAAACCATGAGTTGCAACAACTTTTTTAGCTGCGCATAGTAACATGAAAACGTCATGCGGTGTGTGAATCATGTCATGCTGGCGCAACACTGTCCTGACGACTGTTCTGTTTTTGTTAAACTGCCAGTATAGCAACATAATACAGTCATTTTATCAATTACACGACGCAATAGTTGTTGGCAAGACATAATTGAAAGAATCCCAGCGAGTAAAAAATCACTTGTTTCCCGTAGACACCGATACTTTACATTCTAAAACACTTGACTTAAACACGAACACGGTATCTAATGATCTAGTTTAAGTTTTCCGTCAACCTAAAGGAGGAGGCAAAAAAACCAAAAAAAAAATAGGCAGATCACTTTCCAAACTCTGAACACGAACCGAAACAGCCGCAGGGAAAATCTTTACTTGACAACAAGCATATCGCTCAAAACTTCATCGAACCACCGTCTGCCATCTCTGCAGTGTGTTTTGCTGATGTCACGTATGTATGAGGCCGCAACACGAAAAGTTTTTGTTCGATGCTTAGTGGCCCGTACATTTCCTGTACCGAGTACTCAGAAAAAAGACGTGAGAGTCAATTGAAAAGGTCCTTGCATAACAATGGCGCCATGATCCGGATTGTAAATACAATACCGCGGTACCAACCAGAGCCAGACTATGGGGCCTACCTGTAAAAAAAACAGGTGCGCCAGGACACGGTGAAGGTGCTACTCCGTGGGTACGGCACGACCTATACCAGGGGAAACATCTATTCAAATTTTCATCGTGAAGTACGTTTATGACTTCGAAATGGCGTCCAAGGCGCTCCTGAGAAGGAAGAAAGAGGAGAAGAAGATCTCCAAGAAACTGGTGGTGCCCATAGAGCAAGAGCAGATGGAGAAGTGCCCCGTGTTCAAGGTACACTACCTGGGCAAGATCCCGGCCCGCGGAGAGTACGGCCGGGAGTTCATCGACGAGTCGGTGGAGACGTTGTTGAAACTGAAGGACAGACAGTCCAAACTTCCCAAGACTGTCCTGCAAATCACTGAGAGTGGATTCCACTTCTTGGACGTCAACGGCCCTTTCGGGAAGGAGAAGCACGTGCTTATACCCATACACCACGTCTGCTATGGCGTGGCCGACGAGCAGAATCCCCAAGTCTTTGCCATGATCACCCGGACCGACTCCAATCCGGAAAACAGCCTCCTGGAGTGCCACGCCTTCCTGTGCGATCGCAGGAAGGTGGCGGCTCAGATCACCTACTGGCTCCTCAGGACCTTCCTTCACGTCTTCGAGGATTTGCAGAGGAGACGACGAGAGAGACAGGAGAGAAAGCTCAGACGGCAGCAGGAGGCAGCCCTGGACCCAGCAGCGAGCATTGCCCGCCAGACGGCCGGGTTTCAGGACTTAACCCCCAGCTCACCGACAGAGACGATAGCCCCAGACATTTACAGCATCACCCTTGAAGGGTCTAAAGAAAACGGTGGTGTGACGGCCGTGAGCTTGACCAGAAACCGACCTCCGAGCTTCGGAAAGGAAGCAAAGCCCCAGGATAATCACGTCGGGAGTCCCCGCAGCAGCGGGGGGAGGAAATTCGCTACCGTTCCCGCCATGAGATTCGGCGCGAACGAAGACCAGGTGGGAGGTGGGAGTCGCTGGCGGCAACCCGTGCACCAAATGCACAATTCCCACGAATCGCTCAACTATCATCCCCCCTTGAAGGTTAGCGTTTCTGCTGACCCTCCTATCACACCGCACCGGATCCGGAATGAAGACACAAACCCATCTCGGCCCCATTCTTTCAATGAGGGCAGACCGAACATGACACCCAGTAACCTGCAAAGTGAAGCAGCATCAGTGAAAATGGAACCCTTGGGAATCAAGGGGCTTTCGAACCCAAACGCTCCACTTCACCACCAGCAACAAGAAAGAGCGCGGTACATGAAAAACCCAAACGCAGGACGAGCGTCCCCGTCAAAGACACCGGCGAAACGCGCCAATCGTCCCCTGTCCTTCACTAGAACAATCCCCTCCTCTTCCGGGAGCACTTCCCTTAGGAGCTCCGCGACCAGACAGGAGTCAGACTTCATCTTCATCGAGATGTTGCAGGAGGAGTTCTCCGCGGTTGACGCAGCCAGCACCGAGCACAACTCCACCATCCGACGGGTACCTGGTCCTCGTTCCTCCCAAGACCGCCAACTGCCCCTAACGGATACCGTACCCGGGTCCGACTCCAACGCAGCGGCCCCGCCACTGAATCAGAAACTCAGCAGCGAGGACATCGAAAAGAGGATCCGAGAATGGCTGAAGCGGAATTCGCCGGACGCGGAGAACATTTCTTTCGATGACAGCGGTCTCGACCGAATTTCTCTAGCGGGAACTCTTGCTTATCACAACTCCAAGCGCACTGCCAGTGACACCCCACGATATGCATCAAGCACACAACCGACTCACTCGCGAATAGACCGTCGAAGTGTCGCTGGAGCTTTCAACCACATGCCATCTGACAGGGAGTACTTCTAACGACTTGCTGACTTTCACCTGTGTTTCTCCCGCAAATAACTACATCAACTGAACATTTTAAAAGCATTGTGCAATTTTTCACATCCTGGAAACTCAAATCTTGTTGACCCTCTTTACAGACATTCTAAGAATTTGTTCACGATGTCCTTCATACTTGTGAATTCTGAACAGATTCCTTGAGAGAATCTTCATATGGAGCAAACTAAAATCAAAACTTGTGCTCAATGCCAAATACACGATTCAAGGTGACTGCACTTCAGATTAATGGGGAAAGCCCAAAAATCCCCATTTTCATCTCGTCCAAATTTTTACTTGAAAAACTTTACTCCAAAATTAATATAAACTACCCCGATACAAGGATGGAACTGGCCTTATGAATTATGGGCCAAGAGAAAGAGAAAATGGTACGTTCATTTTCACCCTCTGTCATCTCAAATTGTCTTATGAAATGGCACTCGAGACGTCATATTTATTATAGTCATACACGTCATGTACATGTAGCGTTTTTTTTACTCTTCAGTGCGACCTGGCGGCGGCTTGCTCTAACCAAGGACATACACAGCCTACCAGTCAAGTCGTACATGTCAGCTTCGTTTTAATGTTCACGGCTTGCTTTCACCGAGTGTTAATTGCTTACCTTCCGAGTCCATTTTCTGCTATTACCCTGAAAGTAAGGCCTTCGTGCTTCAGACTCCATGTCATTCAGTATCATGGGTAGGATACTGAACGAATTTAACACGGTGAAATGTCCCCGATACATATTAAAATATGTCGATATGCACATCATTTACAATAACATTGTGTAAAAGAAGTCCGCTGAATTTATTTTATGAGTAACAAGCACGTTTTGAAATGAGTGATATAGGTATAAGTTTACCATTTTTGTCAAGATTAATCGACATCTAGAAGCATATTTGTACACAGCAAAGACAAACAAATACCACCAACAAGCATGTGGCAATTTGCTTTTAAACGTCAGGATGGAAAGCTGTTGAATGATACGTTGATGAGATTATGTTAAAGACGGGCGGAATTAATAAAACGATTAAGTTTAAACAACGTTTCCTTTACGTACGTGCGTATTATGTTAGATCATAACCTTTGTCCATCATTGGTCAAACGTTCTAAGGAATACTTTGAAGGTGCTAAGCTGGGGTATTAATATTTATGTATAATTTGGTTACTTTACTTTACCCAGGGTATTAGATCAGTTTAACACTTGTTTGATTGGGCCCTACATATACATTTTTATTCATCAAAAACGTAGATTCACTGGGGAAAATGAAATGATGAAATATTAATCAATATAAAATGCAAGATGGGCAGAAAATTACATTGACCCATAAGTCTATATCAGCCCGCAGTTTGCTTTTAAATATTCTAGATCATGGCAATCGCCGATTGTATGGTATGGCCAAAGTCCAGCACAAAAACCTTCCGATAAAATGGGGAGATTCCCACCCAGCTCAAGTTCGTAGTCTCTACATTGCAAAAGGTTGAAAATTCATTCTATTCAAATGAAATTTATCTATCTCCGATCGAAGCCATAGGGACAACGCAAATTCGAGTGAAACTGAATCAATCAAATAGATCGAGATTTCACTCAGGTTTCCACTGTAAGGGGTTCTTTTTCAAACTACATATGTCAATCTAAATTCAAAGTGAGTTTACTTCAAGTCCCCATTGCTTTACTCTTACGGTTTCAGAGGGCAACGTTTTACTAGCAAATGATAAAATTTAACAGCTGCCTTTATAAAAACATTCTGGATTGAAAGAGGAAAAGACTTTTATGTCGTGCCAGGAGTTTACAAAACATGTTTGTCCTTCATAGTTTCATATAACTACAGAAATAACGCCCTATTTCACCTCTGGGCGCATGGTCAGTCTTTCACTATGAATAAAAACCCTTCGAACACTAACGAAATGAAAACAACAGCGCTGAAAAAAAAATCGCCCACGAAATCTTGAAATATTAGTTCAAACCTGAGCCACCTTTTCTTTGCACAAACGTCCCTGGAGACCAGCATGCCGCTGAGATAATGGTTGATATGACGGAATATTGGAGGCGCCCCCAGCGGGAAATGGCGCGCGCCGCCAGAGGATATAATAGCTGGAGCTAAATCATTAAGAGAAACAGTGATATCAGAACAGTGGTAGGCGAATGGTTATCTTACATGTACTGTATACCGATGCTGAGTAATGCATGTGGCGCACAAGGCATGATGGGAAGCAGGGTAACACAGCGACAAGTGACATAAAACATCCCACCGGATGCACTGTTGATATGTTTTTCAAAACCGTGAAAAACACTTGGGAAAGTTGATCGAGGAACTGGGAAATGAGATTACATGGACAATTTTGATAATACCAAAGGCAACTCAAACCTTTGAAAATTGTCTGAACGCATATGAATCACTTCACACCGTATTTTAGGCACGCTTTTTCCTGTAGTATGGGGAATAGGATTCCAAAAAACCGAAATATTTTCAGCAGAGAAAGAAAACCTTCAAGACCTGATAGCCTGAAACAAATCCTATTCTAACCAATAGTCGAGCACAAGTCAATCCACTTAGAACAGGGTTTTCTGGCTGGGATGTTCAAGCTATGCGTGCCGCAGCCGGCTTTATTCAAGAATTTCCGAGAAAACGTGTACAAAGTGCCTTGCACAAAACACACAACATATTAGAGGCTTTTAACCTGCAACAATGCAATGGAGATTTGTATCTTTCCCCAAAAATGTATGCCGTTAAAGATTATCGCGCTAAATAGGCACCTTTCAATTTCACTGACACAAAGCAACCGAGAAGTGGTCGTGCATTCGACAGTGCATGCATTATTATATTGTTTTTACCGCAGCTTATAAGCTTTTTAATGCGGTCCTCGTAAATGCACAATTGCGTCCAATTTAATCTTACTGTGATTTTCGTTGTGCCATTGGGGCATTTGGGTGACTTTTTGGTTACAGTAAAGAAAAGTGTGCTACCCGCTGTATTTGGGCTAAAGAATTTGTATAATTAACATCCTGGATATTTTCCTGTCTTAAATTTTCTTTCCTTTGCTGACTCGTTGTTGTTTCAGTTCATGACTGTAGGGAACTGGGTAAAAGTATCTAACACGTAAGATGTAATAAGCTCATTCTGGGGGGCACAATTTCAACAACAAAAAAAGAAAACAACGGTGAGCAGTCTTAATTCTTGCAATGACATTATCGCAAAGGCGCCCTCGTTTCTCAGAAAACAGCAGGTTCAATACTAATTGCTAAAGTTCACTTGTAAGGATGATTCGCCTAAAGGGGTGTCAAATAGTTTTCATATTTACAAAAAGAATAGAAGGTTGCGCCAATGATAAGTTTTTCAAGTAAACACACGTCATGGCCGTTTAAAATGCATCTCACCCACGAGATGCTGTATTTCACGGTTCTTCAGTGGTGCTTCGATCGTCTTGGTTTAACTTCTGTTGTAATTCATGTAGCACCATCTCTTATTACTATCAGTGATGGGACATGAATATTGAATTATGTATATGCAAACAGACGTTTCTGTCATCTCGTCACAAATACAAACTTTGCCAACCGATGCTTGGCAAAACTAGGGTTTTCTGTAAATACACATCCAAAAGAATATTTGCAGTGTGGAAAAATATCATGCAAACAACAAAATAAAGAATGCTGAACACTTCTACTGGAAGAAAATGCTCGCTATTTTAAAACCACTGAAGCAAACTGTGCAGTATAAGGCAAGGGTGACCTTTCTGAATAGTTGGCAGTCCGTACAGGTCTTTGAAGAAGCAGATCCCAAACTTTGCGGGCAGTCAATGGCGCCCTCTGTTGGCCTTTTCTTCAGATTCTTCCTCTAATTTTTATTTTATTCACCGGGGACTTAGTGAATTCTGACATCAGACGGAAAAAGGGGCCGGACAGACACATTCACTGTCCTCCGCCTATGGATGCATGGGCAAACGATCGTAGAAATATTGTCATAGAAAACTTTTATTGACTAACACCTCCATTGAGCCCGCTAATCCCGTTTGTTTTTCTCTGCAAGGTGTATTTTATATGAGGTGGGAACGTGATGCCTTTTTTCATATACATGTATTTAGTCAAGCTCTCACAGTGTCCAGGGAGTTCCAAAGACCCTATCTCCTCCTCCCTGATTTGGTTTGATCTGTTCTTTGCTCTATGGTTTGATGAATTCCCCCTTCACCCCCCAACTCTCATGGTCAAGACAAATTGGGGTTTCATTTAGTACAGGGGTATACAAAACACAAAATACAGGCCAACACCTCCTAAATTCTTCAAAATCTGGGTAGGGGGATTTTGAATATAATGAGAGATGGAAAGCCCATCGTTGCGATTTTCCAAGAGGCACGATGTCCTTTCAAGTGTTCCGCACAGTTAAAGATTTATGTCAAGTCTTAAAATAGGTCTACAACCGGTCGCTCCCGTCTGATATGTAAATCCTCTTACAAAAGTTAACAAACTCACGTGCACGACGTCACGGTCCCCTGCTATGCTGCTTTGACCATGCTTTGACAATCTGCATTCTGCCCTTAATCCTCACGACAAATTTGACGTAGCGATTTAATATCTCAACCATAGCTTGGCACCCTGCTTCGTGACCGTGGTCGTCGTCTGTAAACGGTGGTCCCACACGTCATGCACCGCTCCTAAGCTTACCACACTGCACAATAAGTCCCGTGAGCATGATCTCGACATACGTCTTGAGTAATCTCCCTGATTAACTTGCAAATGGCACAGCTGGGCAAAATATTCGCCAACATGGGCAACATCTGTTCACTGAACAAACGTCAACATGAACAAACGAAATCAGCCACTCTTGTCTAAAAAAATGCCACCCCGGTTCACATCGTCGATCTCCTGCCGTTTGGACAGCCGCCACTAAGACTGGTATCCAAACGTGGTTAATGAAACGAATTTGGAAGCAAATGACTAATACACGTAAATGGTCACCAGCGAATTTGAAGACATTGAACTCCGTCCATGGAAGGACCAACTCAAAACTGCGCCAGGATCTCAGCAAGATCAGGACTCCCTTTGTCATGTTAATACACCCTGTACATAATACAAAGCATGCGTTTCTTAACGCCCTTCTTGACGTATTTCTGTTTATAAACATGTTTTAGGGTGTTGCCCGGGAAAGGGAAAGATTTGGGTGTGCTTCTAAAATAGGCCTACTGACGTGAGATCGAAGGCATTCATTGTGAACGCGGTAAATGACATTTACGCGACACAGCTCTCTACCTTTCTGCCGACGTTGGCCTCTGTATTGGTAATGAAACTGCACCGATTTGCACGCTCATCCGGGGCAGATGGAGATAAATGAGACGCATGCAGTCAGCATATTGGTTTTAAATTAACTGCTTAACATTTGTCATGGCCTTGCGGAACAGCGATCAATTTCAAAAATTTACACATGAAAAGTGAACATTTTTCCTCTATTCAGCCACAGACATTATGTATAGAAGGTTTGCATGGTCGCCATTTGCAAACCAATATTTTTCTCCCATAAAATTACGCACAATTGAGGTTTCCCCGTGGAACGCCAGAACTGTCCTACAAGATGGCTACCACGCAACTTATATGAGGCTTGAGTACTTGTATGAGGCCCAATGTCATGCACGATCTTCCGTGAAATTACAAGCGTGGGCGTTTTACGTTTGCGGTATTTCCTGTATAACAGTCAAGCAAATGGCAATTTCTGTCCACACATTAACGAAAAAATGTAATGTCATCTCAAGAAGAAACCTCAATAGCTAATTCAGCATACAGCTTTTTCCAGTTATGATATCGCCGCGACTTTGCCCTTAAGTTATTTGTCAGAGAAAAAAGCTAGGAGGAGAAAACAAAGAGAAGTAGTAGTTTTCTTACATGTAGAAGAGGAAAAGAAAGTTGCACAAAATATGTTCCGAGTACATAAACTCTATTCACATCAAGGACCCTTTAATAATAAATCAGATGCAGTATCCGGGATTACTCGGATAGATCTGCAACCATGGATGCGGTTTTTGATTGGAACTGTATGCATGGTCGGTCAGAAGTGCATTTTTATTAAAGGATTTACTGTAGCAATTTTTTTCTGAACGAACTGTACATACCATCAAAAGATTTACAAAAATAGCTTCACAGAAACAACTACTGAAAACAGGCAAATAAATCTCACAAAAGTATGGTATCATTGCTACTTAGAAATTGCACCGTTAGGCTAAAACAGACATTATTTCACTACTTTGCGCCTCACCAAACCACATTCCTTTAAAAATAGAACTTGTTTTGACCGAATACAATAAATGCATAAAAATGGAGAAAAGAATTTCAACTATTAGAAAATAATATTTCGAGTACTGGCCATCTTAACCACTAATCCCTTATGTTAAACGTAAATCTTTCTTTTGTCGATTTTTGGTGTGGATTGGTCACGTCAACTGGCAGCTAAAATAGAATTGGAAATTGGGCTCATCAATGCATATACTAGGATGCACAGAAAACACATAAAACACCCGAAGGGTTTGGGAAAGATTAACAGACCGTAAATATGGGACATACTGCCTCTTCACCTGAACCATTTTGAGAACGTCAGACATTGAAAGATTTTGACCATTAATAGAAAACAATCCTACACAAACCAAACCAAGCCCAATTTAAATATCCGAAAAACGCAATTGCAAATCCTGGATTTGAGCACAATTTTTGTTTTTCAGCTTTTCGAGCATCACAGTCATGGGACTGCATAATAGTTTAGACCTAAGAGCCATCAAGGCAACACAAACTCTTTTCTAGATCTGAAAAAGCAGATTAATAGTATTGGGTCATCGATATTTTGGGACTGAATTTCAGAGAAATGTACAGCGTGTGTCCATTCTTCTGGGGAATATCCAGCTGTATGATCACGCTCCTTTAACGGCGCGTACATTATTCCGAACATGAAAGCGGAATCCCCCTGCCCGGCAACTTTGACCTAAATGCTTTTCATTCCGAAGGACTAACTTGGTTAAAACGGATAATTCGCCTCTGCTCCGAACAGCAAACAGGAAGCCACTCTTTCCACTCATTGAAATAGTATGGACATTCCACCAACTTGCACTTTCAAGCTGTCGGACTACATCAGCGTAGCGAAGAATCATTCGGCTTATCGTTAAGCTTGGTATTCAGACAGCAAAACAAAATCTTTGCCACAAATGGCCGCTAACGACAATGCGATAGGAACATGCAAAATTCACATGAAATGTTGGTCGCCCACCAACACACACAGATAATTAATATTGAATCCAACTCTGGTCAGTTATCATGCACCGCCATGAACATACGCCTATAGATGTACCTTACACAAGTAGGAACATTCAATGTCAATAAATACATGTCACATAAGAAATCTGAAACATGAATGTGCATGTATGTTATAGAATAATGTCACGGCTCATTCTGTTTGGTTTATGCTGCTACCTGTACTATCAAAGTAAAGATTATATTTTCAGTGCCATGGTTTGTGCGGTCTCGTATGTCTACGTTGAATACCAATGACAGATTTTTTTTCACACACTGAGCCAAGAATAGCTTAAAAAGATTTGTCCGAGCAAACAGCAGTGTCATCAAGATAATATAAATTATGTGAAGCATGAAAAGGATGAAACGTTCATGAAAGATAATTTTTTTCAGATAATTTCTGTATCGCTATTCACAAGCAGTTTTTTTTTTTTTAATTTCAACGGAGCATAGCGAATAGTGAACAATTTAGTAAACATATTATGAAAAATTATACATATCGTCAATAAGGGTTACCACTCATAATTTATTAGGCATCCTGGCAGAGTTTTGGGGAGGACATCAGATCAGGTAAGACTACAGGGTTACCCCAAAAATGCAAGCCAAAAGTAACATTTATTTTCTCCCAAAATGATTGGCAGAAACAGTTTTGGATATCAAATTAAAGATTACGATGTCATTTTTCCAAAACTGAAAAACATGTCAATTTTTTGTATTAAACTGAAACTTAGGATGTTATCTTTTCACAACTGTTAAGTGACATTTCTGAGGGGGCACCTGGGTGTTCACACATTTTTCAAGGGGTATTGAAAGCTAAAAATATTTGCATGTAAAGCTGCATCGGCTGTGCACCTTTCGAAATTTTAATAAAGGACACCTGTGCGCTCTTACTTCCGCGGGGGGGGGCTGCTCACATCGTAGTTACGCCCGTGTGTTTCTTCCATGCCACAACCCCCTCCCCCTTTGAGAGAACTATATACCGATAGGAAAAGGGAGCAAAGCTTTCCACTGCCTCATTCGGGACTTGTCTTCTCAGTTATAGTTGGCATGTAGCGGTTGGTGATGTTGGGCTAGGCTAAGCGTCACTGGCCTCCGGCTCCGCACCCTGACCCTCCCCGCCAAGTTCCACCTTCTCCTGGTGGAAGACTCCTTGTGTGTCCACGGTTGCCCGGTAGCAAATACGCCTGAAAGACACAAGTGAATGAGGGGAGGGGAATTCGTCAGCTGTTGGATCGAGATTTTTCACCGGGTTGGATCTTCTTTTGACCCGGTGTCTATTACAGTCAAGCTCCAGTCAAACACAAACAAATCAAATAATTAAAAAAGAAAATAAAATTCAGAAGAAGCAAGAGTATACGATGTACAATAATGTAAACTCAATAGCCACCCGGGATTAAAGGCTGACAGATTTGAGATCCTGAATATGGCGCTATGGAAGACTCCTAAATCACTACAAAGCTTTAACTAGGGAGATTCGGGACAAGGCTGGTGCTTATATTAAATTCGTCATGCCCACGGCTGGCAATGGACTTTCACATTAGAGGCGCCCGACCTTGAAAATTTCAGGCTCCCCTCGTCACTTTTCTTGTCTCTTTTTTCTGATTGATACCGGATCAACGCGATATGCCCTGATGATCCAAAATTAGTTTCTGATTTTCCATGCACTATGCCGTTTCCAGCTCAAATCTTTCAACCCCAGTTTTCAGTACAGTGATTAATGGTTAAAGCGACAATACCTATTCACTGCGTCATGCCATTTCCAGCCTTTGGCTTTGTGTATTACACAGTTGAATCTCACTAATAACATGTCCTTGGGACTAACCTTGAATCGTCAGGAATGAAAACACTTTAGAAGAAAGGATTCAGACCTAAAATGTTCCTTCTTACAAGCAGAGTATTGTATCAACATCACAACGCGCGAAATCTGTCGACCCTAGCCAAACCCGCAGTGGGTCGACAGATTTCGCGCGTTTCTGATTGGCCAACGTGTTACAAACTCTTGGAGGCGCACTATTGTGACTTGCCATATTGTAACTTGGTATTCTCCACAGATCTCTAGGTATAAATAGAGATCAGTGATATTCTCTCTCTACCTACAAGGTAAAAATGATATGGGCAAAGGAGAATAGGCTGTGCTGAATGGAAGGAATTCCTTCATGGGTTCGATGGTAGGGGATGTCAAACTCATGTAAAAATGTTAATCGCTTTGATGTTCATCCTATAAAATATTTATTATTTTTTTAGAAGGGCCGCGGACAGACTGGTCTATACAAAGAGATTCATTTCTTGGTGCCCACAACCCAAATCACATGATTTTAAAAAGTTGTAATAATCATTAAACATACCCAAACCAAAGACATAGCTATATGACTAATACATGTTTTGCTTCCGAACGTCAAGCCAACGAAATATAAAAAGGAACATTATCCTTAAGTACGTATGTATGTACACATACAAATACCATTTGTCCTAAAAATTTGTAAAGCATTTTTTTCTTCGGGCGGGGGGCAAAACTTTGGCATTTTTTCATGTAACCTTTAATGACCTTTAGCTTTCTGAGGGGAGAGGCTAACTTTGGGGGCTTTTGCACGCTTTCAGAAGGGAGGGAAATTAGACAGACGAAATATTGCCTCTTCTGTAATCAATTTGAAAAGGCTCCCTTTTGAAAGGGGCATTAGGATGACCCCCTTGCTGCCCACCCACACCCTTGTTTGACCATCCTCATGGTTTGTCCCTGTTAACTGCCTTTCTTGATAGATACATGTATACCCATGGGAACTAACTTTCAGATAGGATAGGAACGTGTCCATATCCCAATGTTAAGATAATGCTAATGATAATATTTAATAAGTTTATGGATCACAATTATCATGTTGATGATCATGAAGGTTTTGATGCTCATGGCGTCGGAAACTGTGACAATATACATGATATCGATTTAAGTAATTGGCTGATGATTGTAGGTCATTTAAATGCGGTGTGATTATAATGCCAACCCTGATAATGCACAGAGCCTGAGGTTAGAAAGCAACGCTTTATTTTCATGTTTATTATTTCATAAAAGAAAAGGATACCTTGCTAATGTTGGGTGTTCTGTCACCATCAACTTCTTCAGCATGTCAGCGTCCATCTCCATAAACTCCTCCAGATCCCCGATGCGCTTCTGCAGCGAGGTGTCCGCTTTCCCCTCTCCGTCCCAGGAGGAGACACTCCCTTCCCTCGACCTGTCCGGGGCAAGGACCGGAGGCGAGTTGTCCCCGTCACTGGTGGAGGAGTCCATTCGCATGGGCCGGGACACGATGCGAGCCCTGTGCACCATGGTGCCCGTGGCGGCCCCCGACGCCTCGACGAAAACCTCCGCGGGATCGCTCTCCTCGACGGTGTTATTGTTGGACGGGAAGGGGGAGACTGGGGCCTGGGAGCCGTCTTGGAGGACAAGACCCACGGCCTTGGACGGCCCGTTTGGATTCTGTCCTTCATGGATCCCCCCAGACTCAACGTGCGCCTTCACCTTTACTTTGCCCCTACCCTTGATTTTCACCTCTGTGATTTCTTTACCGCTGTTCTTCGCAGGTTCCTCCGGTACGGGCGTGATGGTCGGGACTGGCGTTGATGTCTCCCCGTGGGCTCCGGCCATGGCCTTTCTACGCCGGTCCCGCAGTATCCTCTTCCGCTTGAGGTCCTCGTAGGCCTCGATGTAGGCCTGGAGCTGCCAGTAAGTCAGTTTCTGCGTTACTTCGGGCTTGGCGCAGACGAAGGCGTGGAGGATGAGCATCTGGTCTTCTCCCGGGGCAGGCTCGGCGTTCATCCTGATAATGCAGGCGAAGATGTTGGGGTGGTCGTTGCTGCCTACTCCGTAGGTGATGTGATGAAGGGGCACGCTCATGGTGAACCCGTCCTTCTTGGTCTTGAGAAAGGGCCCGCTGACCTCCCAGCACCGCAGACCGTCTGGGTTGAAATTCAGCATGAGCCGGGACAATTTCTGCTTCTCCCTCAGCTTGCAGAGCTGCTCCACGGGCTTCTCCACCGCATCGCGCCCGTACTCCATGTGGGTGGGCATGCGACCCAGGTAGTGCACCAAGAAGGTCGGGTACTCGTTCGATGGCCCCGACGGCGGAATGGTGATCCCGGACATGTCCTTGTGCTTCTTGCGCTCCCGGTCTTTCGATGCCTGGTACCTGTTGGCCGACTCTGACGTGCCGACGGCAGAGTCCGTGGTTGCCGCCCCTTCCGCATCCTCGCTGGGCGGTGCCTCCGACCGAGATTTGAAGCCGGACAGCCCCTGGACGCTACTCCTCTTCTGCTTCTTCTCCTCTCGCTTCTGAGCTTTGACGGTGTCTTCAGGAAGATCCACCGTGGACTTGTTGCGACTACCGATCCTCTTCAAGAACGACATGGCGATATGATCTGACGCGAGGGCAAAAAACCCTCTCCTATATTCACCACAGGCTCTACGCGATCATCATAAACTCTACGGGTGAAATCTGGATATGTCACATCCGTTTGCCGGTTTACAAGAAGTCCTGACAACAAAGACAGTCTCGTGACAGATGTAGGCGTTGGAATGTTAAAACTTTCACTACGGTAATCACCCTAGAAACACGGGACAGTCACCACTCCTGCCGGGCGAAATAAAAATGGCGGCCCCTTACCTTTCGGCACGGATCTGACGCATGACTCCCCTCAGCTTTCACGGTTCACTGAAGCCAACGAAATCATGCATGCACAAAGCCCAAAAGTGGTCCCCTTTTTTTCTCACGTCGGGCCACAATGAAAGCCAGAGAAAAATAAACGTCAAACGTACCTTTCCCACAGACTCGGACACGGTGATCGCACACAGCGCTGTAAAATTATGATGGTATCTGTACGCCCCTCACGCTGAGTGCTAGCTCGTGCAACACAGTCCCGTATTTATCATACATGATTCACTAGGCTTGGCAGCAGCGCAGACAAGGCATTCCATGCTGACATGGCCTTGATGACTGCAATTCGAATACTGCGGATTCAATCCACTATTCCCCCCGGGACGAGAATATTAGCTCCAACCAGGCGCGTCGAGCTGTCCACACAGACACCGATTTAACTCATATTCCCGTCTTGACGCATAAATAATGAGCCGACGAAAAGCCAAAGCAAAGCCCGCGTTTTCTTTCAGCACAAACGCTAATCGATACTTGGACTTCCAATCTCACTTCGTCCGTAGAGGCATATAGCTTATTCAAGGAACCCCCCCCCCCGAGACTTCACAGTTTACCCACAAATTAAAATCGATAACGCTGGGGTCTTTTACATGTCCGTGTGTACCCTTTTACATGTATGAGCTCCGAGGGCACCAGGACTTCGAACATAAGGAAACAGTTTACCCCTGCAATGAATGGATGACAGGCTAAACCAACAAGCGCGCACAAAAGAAAACTTGTTCGAAGAAAAGCAGACGCCCTTGGAAGGATGCGCTCTATTTATATGCAAAGATGACCCGTCCAAGCTGGAGCTGGAGGTTTTTGAGATTCACGGGAACTCCCAACGGCATGTCTACGCACACACACGTCAGGCTTCTGATGTGCGCGGTCCGACCTTACATGTACAGTCAAGTGTGAGCACGATGAATGATGAGACAGCAAACAGAGCTCGGGTCGACGGACCCCCAGACACGACGTCATACTGATTATGCCGCCTTGAATTCTGGGAACCCACGTGGGAACTCCACGGCTAATGTTGTCATCCATCATGTCATTAATGTTCTCCATGCACGGCGCTGGAATTTCATTCGGTTTTTTTTCCTGGCTGAAAACAGCCGAGTGCTAATGTGCAAATACGCGGTCGTCTTTCTCTGTTTTTCACTGTGTCAGTTTCATTTCTAAGAAGGCTCCTTAAAACGACTACAGCGATTTAAATTTAGACGTTGAAACCAACAGAGATGAGGTGTGGGCAAACGATTTCCCATAACATGTTCCCTACCAATAAGCCTCTCGGCTTCCACTTTTGGCCAGGGATTATTCTTTAACCCTAACCCCTTGGGTGTACGTAAAATCATATTGAAATATCGGAGGATCTGGGACTGCTCGGGCTAATTTTGAGCCCCGCTGACAAATTTCCCTCTCCAAAATAACCTAAAACAAATACAAACGTTTCTAGGTATATAACTTTTAAAATGATTTAATTTCAATTGACAGGTAAGTAATGACTTCTTGTTAATAAAACATTAACTTTACGGAGACGTTAAAAAATGTCTTCAACAGTGGATGAACTTCTAAACATCTTTGATTCCTCAAAGTGACTTGATTTTCTTAAGAGGGTGGTAATTTAAGATGTTTTGAGGCTCATGCACCAAAGTTAATTCCATCTTTAGGCACGGATGTGCGTTGGAAAACATCATCCCCGTCTTCAACTTTATCTTGAGCTCCACATTCAAGCTGTGTCAGAATTTCGTGGGCTTGAGGCTTGAAATGTGCCGTAGCTGTAACCGCTGGGCTCCAGTGTTATTCCAATCCGCAGCCGAGAAAGTCAGACACCACCTTCGTTTCAAATGTTTGACACTGGAACCACATGGAAATACTCCCAACACTGGCACCCAATGGATGCTTCCATGCCTGAAAAGGGGAAGCTGTGATGAGCTGGAGAATGTCAAAGTAGTGGTTTAAATTTAAAAAAACTGAAGCCTGAAGCCAAAGGCAGAGACGGAGCTGAGATTTAAAAACAAGTCTGGTGCTCCAGTGAGCAAATACAACTTCAGTATAAGGACAATTGAAGAAAACACGGTAGACTTTACAATTAGTTCGGTCTACAATTTGGCAATGTTCAGGACCGCAACCTCCATCAAAGGAAGATGAGATCTGAAATTTTGATGACATCAACTCAAGCTGATAAATAATTTGCAGTACATTTCAGCAAGTACGAGTACAATACATGAGTAGAAGTCTGCACTGAATCTCATTTAATCTCACCCCTTTAACAAAAAACAGAAAAACTTAATGCAACTGAGGTCAAATCAGTTAAAGGCATTCCTCAAAATCCCAACAGGTTTCTGTCCCTACAACATTCAAACCACTCGGTACTGCATCCAAAGTTTCCAAACCATGCATCTCTCCTCTAGTGTAACCTCTTGAGAGCAAAGTCACTTCTGTGATTCAGCCACATTGGAAAAGGCAGCATCATGTACTTTACATGCACTTGCAGTTTGTAAACTTCTTTTTCTCCGTCAAACCAGATCTTCAGTTCATCAGCCACTGTAGCAAACATGAGAATCATACCTAAAAACAGAAATTAGAGTCCTTGTTCAGTATACATAAGGAATGGCAAAAGCATAGGTCAAAAAGGTAGACAGTAGGGAGGGTTGCTCAGACAGAGATCCTATTTAAATTAGCAACATGCAAAAAATAACCCCTCAAAAAGGGTAATATCTAACATGAAACCAGCAAAATCACAATAACTGAGTGGTCCATGTTATGCCAATGTCTTAATTCCATGTTTGTCAAGCACTGGGGAATGACTGTCATCAACTTGGGCATCAGTGTTGGAGTAATGAGTTTTGGAAACCAAAAAAAAAAAAAAAAAAGAACAAGCTGAACAAAAGTTCCTGGAATGGTTCCCAAATTAAACAAACTTTTCCTCCTCTAAATACATAGCTTTGGAAGTTTGGATTGCTCTCTGACCCTTGATAGCTTTCAAACCATACTCCAGTTCTGAGCCCACAAATTCCCAGCTTGACATGGACATCTGTATGTTTTGAACAACCTCCAGCAGTGTGATCTTTCCCTCAGGACGTGTGATGCTAAACACTGATGTAGCCAGTAGACAAACAGGGCTACGGTCCCTTCTCCCAATTTTGTTTGAAACTAAAAGAAGGCAGAATGATTGCTTTGGACAATTTCATTTTTTTCCTCATCCAAACTGATAAAAAGACTCAAATTTAGCCTTATACCTGAGAAAGCCAATAAAGGGTCCACGAAGAAATGCCCCAACCAAAAACTTTGGTTTTGCCCCTTGGCTGCTGCTTACAATACCAGATCGATCTTTAAAAAATGGTATCAAGGGTATCAACAGTTAGCCCAATACAGCGTACACACACACCTTCAATGTCCTGCCGCTCAGAGCTTTAGTCACTGTCCGATGAATCGTCGCTGATGATACCGCGGAGGTTGGCAAAGTGGTCGACGGGCTTGGCACGTCTGGGGCTAGGGCTTCCCTGTGGTCGGCCACCCGGAGACTTCGCCAGGTAGAGGCTGCACACATTCCTTCTCCTGGACCGTCCTGTTGAGCACCATCATAAAATCTGTGGCTTCAATTCTTCAACGACAGTATTTTACATGTACCTACAATCACCCCCAATCTTTGTAAGTTCTCTTAAGGTCGTTTTGACGCCTTTGTAATTTCTTTATAAAGGCAAATTATTCAGAACAAAATAAATAAGAGAGAAAACATCCGTGCCAAAAACACCAGGTGCAGATCCAGGGATGAGGGGGGGGGGTCGACCCCCTACCCTGAGAAAAAACAAACAAACAAACAGGTAAAATATAGGGACAAAAATAAAAATGACGAAAGCAAATTTAAAAACAAGACGGCATCTCACAGATTCTTCAGGGGTGAGATTGACCAATGACAAAAATAGCTGAAAACAACTGAAAAAAGGCATAAAGAAGCTGAACTGTGAAAATCTCCTATACTTTTGTACACAGCCAGTGAGGAAAAAAGAGCTGAAATCCAAAACAAAAAAAGCTGAAATCAGCTAAAAAGCTGAGAAATCTCACCCCTGTTCTTCTTATGTGTACAAGGTGATTTTTACAAATAGGAGAATTTTGTAACGCAACAGGGGGCAAGCAAATTTTCACGGACTAACATAGAGGGTGCATGTCACAGATACCAACACATACAATGTCTGCAATAAAAGATGCACCACAATTGCTGTCGGGCAGTTTGATGCTGTGGAACACGGGCTCAGGTAGAAGCCTGATCAAAGGAAGCTATTAAAGATAGAGCGCACAGTACCTCGCCTGAAGTAAGGCCGAAGGATGGTAAGCTGTATGCTTCTTGTAGGGACTGGGACCGCTGATAGCAAAGGCGATATTGTGTCCCAGGAGAATAGGTACCGTGTGTATCCAATACAGTCTGAGCATATTGGGAGTAGCATTGTCTACTAGCCGCTCAGCTCATAAGAGAAGCATTGTGTAGAGCGCCATCTGTTGAGATACGTTATTCCTCGCCTCCATACGGCTGGGAAAGTTGTTGATCCATAATCAGTTAGCATAACTAGCAGGTACTCCACTACTGGGTTAAAAGCAATACTGGGACGGTATATTTCCATCCCAATGGACACGTCTCCAGACGCTCAGGAATGCTTTCGTCGTGCTGTCCGCACCTCATCCTTAGAGAAGATAAGCTCCTTCGCAGGAACTGCTCCCACTCGGGGGATGTGACGTCACAATGCACTCCGCAAAAATGAGACATTAAAAAAAATCTCCGACCTGAGTACCCCCCCACCGGAAAAATTCCTGGATCCGCCCTTGAAGGCTTAACCCTAACTGCCAATGAAGTGACAAATCCAGTGCTGAACAGTCCAAGCACATGTTCTATTAGACAGACCACCAGCAGTATTTCACAAGGTCTTCAGCCCCAGATATCTATTTTATGCAACATTATGTGCACAAAATATTTTAGTCTGAAATCCATTTCAAGACTAAAAGGGGCTCGTAAGTGCTGGTTGGACAGAGGTCAGTCACAAAAAGAACTAGTGAAGGGTTTGATGTAGTGGGAAAAAATGTGTGCTCTGATTGTCTTCAGGAGGAACTTACTGCTTTGTGCGGCCGAAACTTGCGGATGCGGCTAGGAATAACACGTATGCCTATGAAAGTCACTGATTAGTGGCTGTAACCACTTGACATGTGTGCTACTCCAAGCCACAGCAGGTTGATTAGGACACAGCATTAGTGCTCAAAGCCACATTGTTTTATCATTACTACGTTTCAGATTTGTTGCTTGTAGAAAGCACTTCGTAACAAGTTACTCACCCGACTTGGAGTTTCCCTGGATGATGTTTTCGGCATTAAGAGCTGCTAGCTCTGCCAGTTTCTCTCTCCTCTCCTTCAGCTGACTGCATTTCCTGAGAGTCGGTTTGCCTGCCAGAAAAACGAAGAGGAAAAATCACTGATATGGATAACCTAAACACTGGCCGGGTCCACGGATCTACCCCAGAAATTTGCTGTAATAGCGTGGCACAAAGGTTGCTTGGAATAATGCACACTGACTCTGGTTTCCAGTTGGCTTCTTTGTTTGGCAAGATAACCTCCAGAGTGGAATTTTGTCTTTTTTTTTTTTTTTTTCCCGCCAATCAGCTTCCAGGAGTGTTCACCAGTGCAACAATCAGCTCATATCAATGAACACGAAGTTCCAGCCGGAGGGATGTCTGGACTTCTGTGTGGCAAATTGTTGGCAATTTTAATTTGGGGGCCTCATTTTGGTGAAGAAATTGACTGTGCACATAATTTCGAAGGGGCACTCCCATTTGCCAAGCACTGTACGCATGCACGTATATTTAAGGCATCTTTCTGGTGTCTGTTTGAACGTGAGCACTCTACTAATGTACACCTCGACAATGCCAGCAGAGTATTTGTGGTGTTCTTCGGTGATGCCAGTGTATTCAATTTACATTAAAATAGCCTTTTATTTCCTACTAGTATACTCGTAGAGGCAGAATCTGGTACACTTGTGGTAGACAGTCGACGTGTTAAACATATAACAGCATGAAAAATTGTAAAATGTAGGCAATGGTGTGCCCCGTTTTTCACTTTGACATGTGCAGCTGGGCACCCAGTTGTCAGATGCTGGATAAAAACATAATGTGATGGACACCTCTTCCACTCACCTTTCATTCCAGCATCCTGGAGAACCTTCTGAAGGATCTTGATCTTCTCTCTTTCGTCCTTGGCATCGGCAAACAACTTGACATACGCCACCCGCAGGCCGCTCTGTCGGACAAACTTCTTGAAGAGCTCCAGGCTCTTGTTTTGTTTCTGGGCAGCCGTCTTTGTGTCCCGTCTGCTGTTGGCAGAACTCTGCACAGCATAATCAAAGACCATCCTGAATAATACGCCTTGAAAGCAAGCGCTAAAAAGCTGAACAAATGCATTAAATTACAGCTACTAATACACATCCTTGGCAAAATTTGGCCAGGATGCATCAAGATAAAATGATAGAGCAAGTGACTGCGAATAGGCAGTGCAATTTGTTGTGAGAGTGCGATTTATTGTGAGAGTGAAAGCTACCACTTTGAAAACAGCTGAACCCTTAGAGATACTTCTGATGTTCTGAGGTACATGGCTGACACACATGGTGTATGTTTACAAGGGTTTTGCTTTTTATTGCTGGATGTAGTACTGTCAATGGGATTTTTCAAATGGGCAAACGCAGACAAAATTTCCCCAAACTCAAAACTGACATTTCTTGCCACAATACAAAGACAGCATGCCTCATCAAATAAAAAAATCAAATCAAAATCAAATTTGATTTTGACAATGTAATGAAGTGAGGCTGCTCAAACCTTTCTTACAGTTCCATTGCTCCCTGAGGTACCTCTTCTACTCTGGGCATCTCCTCTCTCCCCTGAGGATCTCTCATTCTTTGTCTTCTGGTTCAACTTTGTTTTCTGCGTGTCCTCCTCTTCATCAACTGATGAGAGACTGCTGATGGTCAGACTGCTGCTGACAGAGCTGGAATCTGAACTGCTGTTGTTTTCTTGATCATCTGTCCTTTCCTTTCTTGTTTCTTCTTCTTGGAGATGCTTCTTTGTGGACAGCTTTCTGGACTTACCCCACCTTATCCTCCTTTTTCCTTTTGAAGAATCTGATTTCTTTACCTTTCGGTCACTTCCCTCACTGCTACTAGAATCTTCAATTTGTTTGGAAAAATCCCCCCGCTTCTTCCAACTTCCATCCTGTGGTTTCAAGTCTGTTTCTACGGCACCATTATACTCTTCTTCTGATGAGCTCTCCACTAGCATCTCGGTTTTCCCCCGTCTTGCGGATGGATCTTGCTTGAAGAAATTTTTCTTCAAAGATAGGGGCTCATCATCAGAATCACTGTCAGAGGAAACACTCGCATCACTAGCAGATGGGCTGCAGGGTCTCAAACTCTCTTTCTGAAATTTCGATGCAAGGCCTTGGTCATCACCACTATCACTTTCAGATTCGGATGCACGATATCTTGACTTTGCGTTGTGAGCAGAATTCTTCAGAGATTTTGTCTCCCGAACTTTGGATTGGCAACGGGGACTTGCCTTGGATGCCGAATGTTTCCTTGGGCATTTCTCTCCGGAAATTACAGTGAGTTTCACTTTGGAGCTATGGGAATTTGTTTTTGAGATGCGACTGGGCTTGTTGGAACATGCAGTGAAGTCACTGTCTGAATCACTGACATATCCTCTTTTGGAGCTGCCAAAAAGATTTTCTTTCCTCTCAACAGAATGAGACTTTTTCTTTGCTTTCTTTTTACTGGCAAGTGTGATTATCTCACTTCCAGTTTCAAAATCATCTTCAGTATCCGAGTTCTCTCCCAGTTTTCCTTTTGACAATCTTCGCTTCACACCGACCCTGGAGGAATTACTTCTTGCAACAAGCTCATTTTCGCTCTCACTGTCAGAATCAGATAAATGGACCTTGGAATTTCTTTGACTGGAAGAGAATTTTGCTTGGGCCTTCCCTAGAGGCTCGTCGGAGTCAGATGAGGACTGGGTGCCAGATTCTTCATTTTCATCACTGCTGGAATGCTCGAGACCTTTTACTATCCCCTGTGAGGACACCCTCTGGGAAGACTTTCTTGGGCTTCGAGTGCAGTTTTCCTGATTCTGTATAAATGCCCTCCGTGAATTAATTGAGCTTTCATCCCCGTTGGAAAATTCCTCCTCAGAAGACTCCTCAAACTCACTGCTCTTGTTGTCCTCCTCAGAACTGTCTTCTTTAACCTCTACCTGACCACGTTTACGCTTGACAGCAGACGTCTCTTTTCTGTCGGTATCTACATTATCTCTACGATTTCCAACCTTGATCCTGCTCCTCGGCAATGAGACAAGATGTGGTGACAGCCCTTGGAGAAGTCTCTTATCCATGACTTCAATCTCCACGACAGGTTTGGACTTCCGCATCTGACTTTTCAATGCCAACGTCCTGGGACTTTCAAAGTCTGCTGCCGGCACTTTTCTTTTCACATCCTTCAGGGTATTTGAAATCTCTTTCGCTGCAGCTTTGGGACGTGCTCTGCCAGTACAAGGAGGATGTAGTGATACCATCTTTAGCTCTTCTGATCCCGAATCCTCTTCGTCGTTGCTGGAGGATAACAAATTTCCCCGAAGTTTTTGTGCACCAACACGCACTGAGACCTTGCCTACATTTGCACAATCATTATCAGCATCGTCATCAAGATCATCGTAACTGTCATCGATATGACCATCACTGTTGCTTGCTGATGGTTTCTGATCACCAGGTGAGGAAGCAACATCACAGTCTTCATCATCACTTGAAGATGCTTTACTACCAGGGGCCGACGTATCTTTCTGCTCCTGGCATCTAGACAGTTCCTTCAAATCGCCATCCAAATCACTGTCAACATCTTCATTCTCCTCATCATCTCTGGGAGAGGCTTCAACCACATAAACAGGAGAAATATTCTCGTGGTCTTCAGATTCGTCACCGTCTTCCTCCTCGTCGCTCAGAGATGTATCACTGCTGAGTTTGTTCACTGCCCCACCCTCTTTGTCACTATCTACCTCCTCCTGCCTCATTCTCTTCACGTCTAGCCTGACATTGGCAACACTCCTCAGTCTGTGAGTGAGTGCACCTTTCCCGGAAGTTTTCCAATCCCAGTCCTCTTGTTCTGATTCTGAGGAACTCTCCGGTAGAAGAATCCTCTTCCGTTTCTTGGTAGCTGCCATGATGTTGAATGTTTGGAAGCCAGAGCCCTGATCACAAGGAACCAGGAGAACAAAGTAAAATATCAGCCATATCAACAAGAAGCAAAATAATTCAAGTGGAAGTGCCCCAAAAGTTTTAGAGCACACTGAGCAATATCTGGCAATATTTGTTTATAAGTATGTTATCCCCTTTGGCGGATTTGCATGGCAACAAGGTACTAGGTAAAGATCTGTGGCTAGAGCCTAGAAGAAAGATGGAGACACGACCCCCTTTTGCCTTGCCACAGTGTCGGCTGTGGTGCAAAGTCAGGTCAGTGTCCCTAGTTCCAAGGGACATAATGTTCCTGCTTGGAAAAAAACTCAAATATGTATGGTTCATGTCATGGGGATATCTACCATATCTGCTGGCGAGTCTCTCCGCGTCATGGGCCATTGCATCGGCTGAGTTTTCTGAGCTCTACATGTGTATAAGTGTACATCTGGTCACATGTTTAGTTGCCATGCCGTCAAAATACGAAAAGCAAACACGATCAAATATCTAACTGCCAATGCCGTAATGTTGGGGTACAAAAATCAGCAATTATGGAATTATGTAGTATTTGTAGAGCTATAAACCTTTCAAACAAACCCTACTCATCTGCATCACTGTAGAATAAGACTCCTCCTAAACAAACAAAATACATGTAGGACAGAGATTGATGATATTATATGCCTAACTTTGGTCGGAAGGAAAGAGTTCCATATCTAGACACCACTTGACGGCCTGTTCACAAACTCTATATGAGACTGGTCTGAAAAACGTTAAGTACTTTCTAATCACATTGTAACTGCTCCAGTATTTTCATTGCTAAATTTGACTCGTGGGACATGTTGTCACTTTCTGATTGCTACTAAACTGTGAGGGAAAATTAGAGATGTCCATATGTGGTTGTCCCTAGCTCTACTGACTGGAGCCTCTTTTTCAAATATTGGACTGGATCAGCCGTTTTTGAAAAAGAGGAATAGTAACGCTCCACTCAGTAGAACTAGGCTGTCCCCTACCTTTAGCACTCTGGTCCTACATGTATAAGGAAACAAGGTTCAATTTATGACAAAATAAGTGACATTTTGTCCTTGAGCAACCATTCCTTCGTGCTTAATCCTAATAACTCTGGGTTAGGTAAATTTTGACAGTTTCTGAGTAAAAAAAATACAACTTTTTTATCTGCGTTTGGCAAGAGACAACTGCTCAGTCGGGTCATGCCATTTCGTTTCCAGGCTCGTTAACAGACTGTGCTATTGTGAATAAACCAAGATTCATTAACATTCCTCAAAACTCTTCATCCAAGTCGGGGAACCAGATTGCACTTGCTAATTGTCTATGCTCACAGCTCTTCCATGACTTCGTCGAGACATGTCACATACACTACCAGCCATTTTACCCCATAATTTCCCTAAAAAACGAAAGCCTATCCTCTTTTCACAAACATACCTAATCTTTATGATATGAAAGAGGGCATCAGTGGAAACTTAGGCTACATGTCTCTAGGTGGGTTACATTCCTTTGTAAAAGCAGACTTTGTATCCTCATAATTTACAAGAACAGTGTACTAACGGATACCAGTACCAGGGCATACACTGAGGCTACAGCCTACAGGTATTGATAGGCCTCTATGGAATGCTTTACGGTCGACTCTGTCCATGAGTCAACTCGGTCCCGAGTCAACTCGGTCCCAAATCAACTACATGTATAGGCCAGGCTCAGGCTGGTAAATGAACCATTTACCATGGTACGGGCCTAAGCCTGGCATGCCTGGCCTAACTTAGTTTTAATAAATTTTGTGAATTGAACTTTTATGTATTCGAATTTACTATTCATGTTTGCACAATCTTGAATCTTGCGTAAATTTATTGTAGGCCTAGGTTTCTCCTTCCTGAGTTATTTAAGTTTTTCTTACTAATGGATTTTTTCCAAAATTTACTCAAGTCAAGGCAAATCAACTCGGGATGATTCCTTGGGATGAAATAGGCCTATCGCGCCGTAGGCCCTAGGCCAAATTTGCGTAAGAAGAGTCAAGATTGTGCCAAACACTTACACTCAGAGTTACACTAACCAAACAGCACCAGCAAGCTCACCTCACACAGTTGCTGGATGATTTGTAATGGGCGCCAACATAGAAATTTAACTATGAAAACCGCGCGTTTCTGTACGCAAGCTATACAAGGGAACGGAGGTCGGAGAGGAGTTCATTTCGAGATTTGCGTATACGGCTAAGACTAGCTATTTACCGCGTAGCGTGATGCACGCACAGGTCAAAGCTCAAAGCCGTAGCCACTAAACGCGAGGGTATTAATCAGACTGCGGCTTTACAGCCGGACAATTAAGGCATTTGAAATAGCGCCCTCAAACGGTATTAAATACTGCTGCAAACTTCGCTGTCGCCCAGCGCGATTTTGGATGAGCGAATAAAGTGTATTGAGAATATTTTCAGCAATGAGGAAGAAAAATAAAAAAAAATATCGAATTGATAACCGCCGCCTGTGAGCCTTGTGCAACGCACTGAGGGAACTCCCTCGACTGGCAGACATTTACCCAGATGCGCTGCGCGTCGTCAGCTGTGACCCCATGTGACGTATTTCCTTCACTAAAATATCTGTGCAAGGCCATCAGCCTTCCCAGCTGGGCGACGAGCAAAGCTGCAAACATTAAGGTTGACAAAGTGTGAGACGGACGGTGGTTAGCTCCCCTTAAATCGGAGTGAGAACGAGTGAGAACGAGGAAAACCCATCTCAGCAAAAGACTTCCCATTTACGCTCAGTTTGGTGGCGGGGACTGACGATTGTGAAATTTTGTGGCAAATTTCACTCCGAAAATATCTAAACCCAAACTTGAAGGACTGTTTACGAGATAAGCCTAGTCTGTACCGGCGCGATAGGCCTATACATGAGCCCTTCAATTCCCTTGTGTCTCGGTAAATCGACTTCCCACACTGGAAATCAATTCTGCCGGTTCTACGCTGCCTACACGCTCTAGTCATTATGAGGGAGACCACTGTGACCACAAGTGGGCAAAATACAATGTAAGATGTCACTTCCCCAAAACACAGAGAGATCATGATTTAACTGGCTGAACGAAAGGCACACGTACAGAACGTTTAGCAGACACCCATCCAGTCCTACCTACGTCCACAGCTATAGATTGATGACTTCACTCTTACTTGGTGAATCGTATTCCCTTTGCACCCGTCTTCTTCTCGAGTTAGTTTTTCTCCACAGCTGAGAATAAGTACAGTATATCAGTGCCAATCACAATCACAGACTTGGATATAATGATAAATAGTTCGTTATTATAATCAACCCTGATAACGATAGCAATCTCCAGGTGTGCGGACATGCACACGCATTACTCGGATCAGTGCGCTTATACAAAATACCAAAAAAAAACTTCGAGGAAAACAATCAAATAAATCGTATTCAAAATACTTTAATTAATCTATCAAAATACAATTCTCTAAATTTAAATGATCACATTATACTCTTGAACGATTCTTGAAATAAAATTCTGAGTTTAAAAATACAATTCGTTGTCAGGCAGTCTCCGAAAAAAAAGTTCAGTCCGTACGTGACTTAAACTCGATTTGTGTAATTATATGGTCAACTGAGTGTAATGCGCTCAGGATATCTTAAGGTAAACCTCGACGGGAGGGTCCCCGCAAGAATTCAACATACCAAGGTACAATTATACGCTTGAAAGACCGACAAATTGATATAGAATACGCATGCCATACTTAAATAATTCGAAGTCACATTTTGTTATTTCTCAGTGGCTGTTAAGCACTAGAGAAAACAAAGACCAACGGTACTGAACAGAGTTTAATAGGCCCAGTCTGGGTTACAAGTTCAAAGTTCATGAGAACATATAAACGGCTCTTTATTTACTGTTAAGGTGCCAGAAAAAAAATAACTTCAGCTAGTTGGTTTGTGAAGTCTGTGCATATGAACAGTAAAACTACAAGTACTCACGATAATAGAGTCTCTACAAGAATACTGCGGGAAAACGCATAATTATCATGACGTGGTACACGTTTGGAGAATATATGCCATTGTCAATGAACAAGACTGTGGTCATGATAAGTGCAATATTAAGTGGAGTCATAGTATGATAAACTATTTATATCTATAAACTATTTCGGACGGAATATTTAAAGGTGCATTATTTGGAATGAGCTTAACGTTTCGTGAACAGAAAACTCGGAGAGATAATCTTCCTTTCCGCTTCAAACAGACATCCTCACGATCGCTTCGACCAGGTTGCCGTATGAAATTCTCTTCGCTGTAACGGGTCGGAAGTAAAATCGACCAACTGCACACGTGAGTCAATTTATGCGAAGTGAAAAAAAGATGCATTTGTCAACTATGAATCGAGTTCAATCGTTACCATATCCACCCTTATATCTGAGGGATACTGAGAATATAAAATCGATAACAATAAAATGCGCGTCAGGTTCATGCACATTCCAATAAATCAAAAAGGTTACACAAAAATATTTTAGTGCCGTTTTGGAGACCCAAACCTTGTTCTGGGGGCTTGAAAACATTTTTTCCTCGGTAAAAAAGGTACTGACGTTGTAATGAATGTATGTCTTTTGGACAGTCATTAAAATGTCAATACCTCGTTTCCACGGAACAGTTTAGAGAAGGAGAAATCGTTTGAATTAAGACGGATAAAAACGGCAGGTTTCCTTTAAAAGAAACACAATCACTATTTCATTACTTCGTTAAGGTTAGACAAACCATTCAAATGTAAGAAAATTTACTCGTCGGGAATGTGAGTTCAACCAACAATGAACAAGTGATGTGGATTTAGCTCCAGTTGGAAGTTGTTTCACGATAAATAATCACATTTTACAAAATTCTCAAGGAAAAGCACGTGATCCCAACAAACAACACTCGCCATTTTCTTTTAAAAAAATATAATTCAAGACTCCAAAAAATCGATCTGCCAGTTTTTGTGAAGACAGCAACAAGCCAGCGGCAGAACTTGTAGCTTTACAACCAAGCGCTATCACAGTAAAAATGCATTTCTTTAAAACGCAGGCTCACGCAAGTTCCAAATCAAAGAACTCATTCAACTCGTGTCCTTCCGACAGAACCAAACCAGCAATCATACTATCTTCCTGCAATACCAAAATGGTTGATTTTCATTTCACATCAAAGGAAATTTCCAAAGTGAAAATTTTGCATAATCGGGCTGACACTTCAGCAAATTCAAACAATCGTGCATTTTTTTAGAATAAATAATTTCATTCAGTATTTACACACATTTTTTTTGCATTAAAATGAAAGATCGGACAGATAATAGAAATCTACAGAATTTACGAATTAACATACAAGTCTAAAATTTTTGCTTTGGTCTAATTTCAGTAAATCACATGGTGGGAATGTGTGAAAGTAATTTTAAAAAATGAATGCATGCACCGTGATTTAACTATTTCAATCAAATAGGCACATCTGGAAAATCTTAAAATGCTAAAATGTTTTATATAAAAGAAATAATTTGAACTTTCACTTCAAATTATATACAAAGAGCAATCAAGACACAAACATTAAAAGTAGCACACAGGCGTAAACAAACAGAATCTCTGTATTTTCCCATGATAAAAATTGAAAAAAATTAAATTTTAAATACCCTGTGTTAGCCGACCGGAAAGTCATTTTATGTTCAGTTTTCATGGTGGAAAACACACTTAAAAAAAATTGTCAGTAAATTTTAAATTATCCCATCAACATTTTCTTCAATGTTGCATGTACAAGAAATAAATCTGTATCCAAAAGTGTGGATAAACACAAACACTGAGTTGATAATAAAGTTCAATTCAAAATAAACGGGGTAATGGGTTACCTATGTGGACAGATCAGTCAGCTCACTGCAGACATAAAAAACTGCAAATATTCACAGAGAAACACGCGGAAAAAAATACAGATGCCATGTTCAGTGACTTGTGAAAAACTTAAGGCTGTTGTGTGCGTATCAAATCTGGTCTTGAAATAATAATTATGTTGCCTATTCCCACAAAGCCACAAGAAATAGTGACGACTGATTGAGTGTAATTTCTCTGTGAGGTCCTTGCTCTGCAGAACGATCAATTCTTTCAGAACAAATGTTCACCCGATGGTGAGTGGCTGAAATTCTTCTCTTCCATTTTCTTCATGTTTGTGCAAAAACAACAAATGTGTGCAGGGTTGAGGACCCTAAAAGCTGTCTGCTGTAACTAAACTGTGTTTCTTCTTTTCTCAATGGGTTTTAAGTTCTGAAACCACAAGCTTGGGGCTGAAATTTCACATTGCAACATTAGATTACTCGGTGTGATCAATCACGATGGCTACCTTGTCTGGGACACAATGCATTTTCATTGTAATGTGCACAAATGCATCATGGTTTCCGCAGGATCACCAGGTGAGCCATGCTGACGGTGTTCAAGTGTCTGTCGCCTCTCTCTGAGGGTGCCCCTGGTGAGGATTTACTCAAGAAAACTAGGTCCACAAGACACACTGTGGAAAAGCCACCAGCTGATTTGGAACCACTTTGCTCTAAATTACATGGAACATGTTTATTCACTCCTTCTTGGCCAATGCACCGATGGTTTCAGTTAAGGAGGTTGGTTTGTCGGCAAACTTTCATGGCAGTCTCGTGGAAGATATGGACGGTTTATCACAGACGGACGGGGGTCCGAGTTGGACTGGCTAGCTTGGAATAGGCTCGCTCCATCTTCATCAGTTCCTAGGGAAAATGGATAAAGAATTCAGCAGAGAATAAAGTGATGGAACCAGCACTTTTTTCAATTCTTCCAAGAAAGCATCTTTTTGTGTTTGACAGCATGTTGCCATTCTCAGCATTTATTTAGCCCACAAATCTATGTTCACACAAATAACATAAAAAGGCCAAGTAACATTTTTTAGCTTTGAGAATTCCTAAAAATGCTAATAAACTGTGCAATTAAACCGCTCAAAATATCTGCCTGCTGTAACAAACCCAGAAAACAGCTAAGAAATGTTTTAACTCCAAACTCAAGTGTCTCATGACTAATCAAATCAAATCAAATCAAATCATACCAAATCCCCTAACTCCACAAAAATCTAAATGTTTCAGCATCTATTTTTTCTTACTTTGGTTTGCTGCGTGAGGGCCCCCTGCAGCCGGCTGTTCTCAGAGATCTTTTCGCTAACGGAGGCAGCATTCTCTCGGCAGCGTTCCTCGGCCACCTGCAGCTGCCGTTCCAAAAGCTTGACTCGCTGCTGCAGCTGGTAAAGAAGGTGGTCTTTGTCGTCACTCTGCTCGCAAAGGAAACAGAAGTGAAAAGAAAACCACATAAGCCATGACTAAATCAACCAACTACAACTGGGAGTCAGACCCCCTCCTAAGAACTCGGCTTTTCACACACCAATCTTGTTCAAACTTGGCATGAATGTACGAGCATTCATTGTAAGTACGCCTGTGAAGTCTCAACTACAGCAGGCGATGGGCTTTCTCTATCATTATAGTTCACTCTCTCGCGAGTGCCACTTTGTGTACAATGTGCATGTGTCAATGAGAAACGTTAACATTTATTGGCAGACCTGTCTTGGTAAAAATGGGCTTTTGTATTAAAGCCATCTATGGAAAAACTCCTGCTGGCTCAGCATGATTAAAAAAGTTCACTTCAGTGATACAAAAGAAATGTGTTCTGCCCTCTCACCACTTACAGGGTTAACACCCCCACAAGCACAACCTAATGACATTTCAGGTAAGGTACACCACAATTAAGTTCCTGTTTGTGCACTTTTTTCTCCCCGGTTCACAGCCTCATACCTCACTGTGCTTGCTGGAGTGTGGGCTGGCCCTCTCCTCCCCTGAGCTCTCAAACGGGCCCCGGCTGCTCCTCCTCAGGCTCATGTTCTCCGACCGCAGCTGCTTGACTCTCTCCTGCAGGTGCCTCAGGAGACGGATGGTGGAGGCGTCGCTAGCCGAGGAGACGGTGGAGGGACTACCATTCCCCTAGTGACAGAGACAGACACCAGAAACATTGACTTTATTTACGCCGATGTGGGGAGGGGGGAAAATTGAAAAATTGGATGGGTCGTGATGCGAAATTTGTTTCGATGTTGCATAAGGTTTCACAGGATTTTGTGGGGTGGAGAGTTTTGTGTGAAATCCTCGTAAGCAAGCAGTTGAACTAGTCGAGTCTGGAGGTGAATGACAAAGACATGAATGAGTTCTTCTGTCACTTTCCAGGACAGCAGTCACCTGATTTTTGTTATGACACCCCCCTCCCCAAAATAGGAGCTCAGGCCTTGCAACTGAAGTGACTTGGTGCATAAATAACCTCTACCTGAGAAAGCACGACTAGATCTGAAAAAACTTACCGAAGAGTTTCTAGACCTGAGATCGGCTTGGCTTCCTCGGTAGGACCCATCTCTCTTGCTTGCCTCCTGGAGACGACTGCCACGTAAGAACGATGATGAAAAGCATGATAAATATTAACTCTAGCTACACATTGCCTATTCCACACACTTACTTACTCCAGAAGCATAGGAACCACAAACCTGTAGCACTGTAGTTACTGAAAGGACCAAGAATGCTGATGACATCATTGGAAGTTGGAACCAGTGTTGTATTCGAGTCCGTCACAAGTCCCCGTAAGTCCATCACAAGTCCATCACAAGTCATTCAGCCTTAAGCCAATTCACAAGCTATTCATATGAGCTGTGACAAAAGCATTGTTTTGTCATTGTTCACCCTGTTACATAACTGGCTTTGTGAAGGGACTTGTGACTGAAATTTTGAAGGGACTTGCAAAAGGACTTGTGATGGACTCAAATACAATACTGGTTGGAACAACTCACATAAATTTTCCATGAAAACAAGTTTCCCAATAATGTGGCATAAACCAAGGCACAAACTTTCTCAGACATGAGTCACTGCATTTACGGTGCATCTCTAAATTTGCCAAGAGATCTGGAAGCAACCGGCTTACATCTCCAGTTCCTTGCTGAGCTCCTCCTCAAACTTCTTGGCCATCTTGAGGGCCGTCTCTTCCTTCCACTGGGTCATGCTCTGCTGTATCTCCTTCAGCTCAGAGTCCTTGTCCAGGAGGCGCTGCTGGAGGGAGGCCTCAGCCGTCCGCTGCCGGGATATCTGCTGCTGGAGCTCCTCAACCTGCACCAGGTGATCCTGGACAAGAAAGAGAATGGAAATTGAGGTATGACAGCAATGAGGTCTGGGGCAGACAGAAAGAAAGAGACAAGATGATAATGGACTGTCTGTTTAAGGGATATCTGCTGTTAATGCTTCTCAACCTGTGTCAAGTGATCCTGGAGATAAGACAGAGTGCATGGAGCCAGTGATCTACAACAGATATGAAGGTTAGCACTGGGTAAGGTAGGACAATCTGGGTCTGAGATGTTGAGGGCCCCCTCCCCCAAAAAAGAAACACACAGGGGATGAAGGATTGTTCAGGTCTACTGACATATTATCTGCCCATGCAGCTTCCCCAGCTAGCATTGATACATTGGGCCAACGTCGGCGATCGTCGGATTCATCACAGTCGTATTTCCACCGTTGTTATGACATTGGTAAAGGGTCAGAATTTGGACATTGGCCTACAAATGTTCAGTCGATGTTGGCAATAAGTTTGTTTGACATTGAGGTTGCCGACATTGAGCCGATGTTAACGCCCAGTATGTTATTTGACGTCGGCATCAGGCACAATTTGAGAAATCATTGGTGAACTGTAGTCATAGTCATGTTGTTTTGAGAAAAATCCATCAATTCTGCTTTTTTGAGTGGAGAAGAAATTGCAGGAAACGTGTCGTTGGGCATTGGTTTTAGTATTTATTATCTGGAAGTATGACAGATATTGAAGCTACTACAAGAAGTCATAACTGTCATGGTCTCAAGCAAGCTGTGAGTGCTGCAACATGTAAAAGTGTGATTTAACATAACATTCCAATTTCTGTTGCAAGCTGCATTTTGTCTACAAACTGTACGTTTAAACTGTGATATGTGTTTTTCGTGTCTGTCGTTATTACGTAATATAAAGCTTAGGTCAAAGTGGTAATCAGAAGTAATATATATGTCAAAATTACGGAGTTCAAGTAGGTTACATTTTTTTTCATTCTCCGATTGAGGAGCAGTTTATTTCATGTCGGCGACAAATGAAATCCCAAGTACATCCAAATTATACATGCATAGTGATATTTGATACGATAACGGGAAATGGTGTATTAAGTTTGATATTTGTACATAGTCTAAATTATTACCAACATGTAGGGAAAAATTCTTAAATAGAATTCCTATTAAACTTGTTACAACGGCTTCACTAGCCCACGCTGTCCTACATTATTTTGCATAAGATGGTTAAATGAATATGTTTTCGGGTGCATTTTCACAAACTACGAGTACTTGCAGAGAATCAGTTCAGGTAGAATTGTAGCTTCAACATTAAGGCATGGAAAGGGAAACCAGCTGATTTCTTTTCTAGAATCTAATAATTACATGCAGAACTTAGAAGGGTTTTGCTGATCCTGTATCCTTTCGGTTCGAAGTATCATACGCAGAGAGCTGATCTAAGATCCATTGTAACTTTTGAAACTACGGGACCCGCTCTGAGAATGGTCCAAAGAATATTTTAAAAAGAGAGATTTAAACACTGTTATCCATGACGGATGCTGCGCTTAGCAGTGAGCAAGGTGGGATCATGATATGTCTAGGGACAGAAATGGCCAAGAACAAGCCCATAACAAGATTGGGTGATCTGCTGGTGGGATATTTAACGTTTGCAAATGCTGCCCAAAATGATCCACAGGTCAAACAGAAATGAACATCGGGATAACAACAGATATGGAGGTCAGAAATCTTTTGAATAAGTAGGATCGCAGGGATGGACAGGGAAATTTTTTTTCAGATGAAAGTGGTTTGTCTGTTGACTGGTCATCAGCTCTTTACAAAGTGCTTCTTGTTTAACTATAAAGCAATTACATGTACCTGTATCAGCCTGTCTCTCATCGTGTCCATATCTCCAGATTTCTTCTCAATTGTACTTGCAACTTTTTTCACCTCTTCATCCTAGAACATAAAAAATAAAGGAAATACTGGTTATCAACTAATATTATAAAATTCAAAGTACTCAAAATCGATTACACTCACCACTCAAACTTGAAGCCTAAAAAAACAGAAAAAGAAAAATTTCCTTTCTTTCGGAACTAAAACAAATCTAAGTATCTTCCAAATCTTCTTCATGAACTGCTTATCTCTGTTTAAAGTAGCGACTCTCATTAGACCATTAGGGGAATAGTTTTGCAGTCTTACAATTATCAACTAGCACTTAACAACCCATCAACAGATCAAAGTGGTGGAGTTTGCAGTTGGTTCAACTCATCAATTAAATCTGACTACCTTTTCTTTCTGCGCTTTGGACAGCGCCCTCTTCTGTCTCTCAAGGTCGGCCTTCAGACTCTGCACGTAGTTCCGCAGCTCCTCGTTGCTGATCCTGAGGTTGGTCAGGGCGGCCATGACCTGGGTGCGGCCAGGGCCCTGGGCAGAGTCGGGCATGCCGTGGAGTGGGCTCTTTGGTGACCGGGTTCCGTTGAGGGACTTGCTACCCCTGGTATACAGTAAGGTGAAAAAAAGGAAAAGCATAGTGTGGTCCCTGTGTGCACAACCCCGCACTCTTCGGGAAGAAGGAAAACATTGCTGTTACAGATTGACAATTCCTAGATGAAGCTGGCAGAATGGTGAGGTTAAGGGAGTTTGAATAACCACGCCCCTCCACTTGTGGGCCTGCTATGGCAAAGATTTTTTCCGCCTTGCCAAAAATACATGTAGTAACCATGAAATTGCAACATCATGTCCATAATTATTATTAAGACTGGTAAAACTGTAAAAAAAGTTCCGCAGGGACTTCTGTTGAACTGAACCCATTTTGTGAAGCAGGTTTCGCCCCGATAAACTGTTGTTGATTTCTGTTGTGAGCTCACATTCGTGTGCTCCCTCTCACACAAAGCTTACAAGCTTGTACACATTCAGTTGAAAACTGGTTGCACACACTCCGTGAACTGACATATGCAATGTGTGCTTTTTCATCAACGAACCCCACATCACCATTTCGAATTAACCTTTGTAGTGATGACGCCACACTTTGTTTGGTTTGCGCTTTCCTATGGTGCTCGGTGGACCGTGGGTCCTCATTGACTACATAGGAATGTGCACGTGTAAAAGAAAAGTGCATCATCAGTATGTAGGCCTGTCTATTCTGGCACTACCGTCTATGCTTACCTTGAGATGTTCATCTTCAGCGGCGCGGAGCCGATGACTGCTGCCGTCCTCTTGCACTCCTCATTGATCTCCGCCAGGATGCTCTTGCTTCCCGTCACCCCAGCTGACTTGGCCTCGCGGTCCTGATGAACTTTGACCTCTGACCTCAGCCTGGTTACCTCCTCCTCCTGCTGGCGGATTTTCATGCGAAGTTTGTCCGCCTCAAGTAGGTTTTCCTTTCGGAGAGAAAAAAAAAATGAGACAAAGTCAAGCAAGATTGTTTTAATTGATCAAACTTATTCAACCACTTCATGCCTGAGGCCACATGGACACAGTGTGGCAATCTATATTTAAAGGGGCAACTAGGCATTAAACCATTAACTGTTCCGAGTCTTCAGTGACAGATGTGTATATATGCATTTCATTACCCTTTGGTTACGTGCACACATGAATGTGATGCCTGGAAAGTTGGCAAAATATGAGGCTGCGATAGGAAAAATTGGTAATGTGCCTATACTGTTCAAATGACTCTCGAACTTCGGAACTGGTGCCACCAGGCTGTTCTTCGAAAGTTGGCTGCATAACTGTCTCTTTTTTAAAAATCAGATATTCTGGTGAAAAATAAGACCAGCCCCATCACCAGCTTTGGGCAGGGGGAGCACAGTACTAGCTGGTGGGGGTATATCATATAAACACACACGACCCCTGGGAGGCCGGGGACCCCCAGAAGAGGGGGTCTGGTTCCTCTGGGCCCCCCTAAGTGACGGGCCTGAATAAGACTGTGAGCTGTGAGTGATTAACCATAGGGATGAGTTTCTTTAATCCTCTTTTAACTAAGTATTTGCTAACAGTCCTGCTTAATTTGAACACTAAGCAGAGTAAAGCCAGAGGCACAATTCTTGTATTTCAAACAGAATTCTCTCTCTTCAAGCCCCATTGAAAATTGCACACTGTCTCCGGGGTCCATCCCAATTCCAACAGAATCTTATCATCATTGATCTTGATGGGTTTGGAACAGAGAAGATTACAAAGGAGGGGTGCATCTGCACGATAGGATCTACAAGGCCAAACAAATTGTCAAAGCTGGTAAAAGTTCCAACAGTGTGAAAGGCTGCAGTGTCAGCTTTTTGTAAATACTTAAAGCCAGTGTATTAAAAAAAAGCAGTGTAATGTCAACCTTAAAGCTAAATTTGCATTGGTTACAAACTTGTCAAAGGTTTGAATATCAAGATACAGCATCCAATCATATGAATCCTAATATTTTCATATGGCTATAAAATTAAACTTTTTCACTTGTTACTCTTATGTCACCCTGGATATGAAGTTCAGCAAAGCCCTCCAATGAATTAGGAGAAGGGTGTTGAGCATTTCTACATTGCTTACATTTAACACTTTTATGGTGAGTCGCAACAGGTGAAGACTCTCAACGTAGGGAATATCACGTGAGGAATTGCTGGTGGTACTGTTATCGATACAGTAATTGATATCGCTAGCGCTGTTTACATCGCTCGCTCTATCCAGACATCGGAAAGTCTCCATGGCAACTACTCATGCACTCTTCCCTGAGAAGATGACAGGACACTCAGCCAGACTAGTCACTCACTGCTGTCGCTCCTCTTCATACAAGTCATCATGTGATGTGCATGGAGGTGCTTCCTGCAGGCTGCCACTCTCAAATTGGTTTGCACAGGGAAAGATCTTTCACACCCTGTGCGATGCGAAGGTCAAGATGCGCATATTCATGAGGGCCTGGTAAAGTGATTGGGGGTATACAGTTTCAAAACAGCTTTACCAAAGAAGAAACATTGGATCATCAGATCAATCCCTGAAATACCTTCTGCTTGGGTGGTTTTGTGATGTAGATATCTCTCTCCTAATTTGTCATCCGTTAATGGTTGCCTGGGCTAGGTGAAATTCAGTGCCTGCTTGTCATCTCCTTTGACTAGGAAAAGTTCTTTCTCCCACTCCTGCATCTGACATGAAGGTCAGCAATCCTCAAAAATGCTGATGTACATGTAGAATAATAATGGAGTGTACAGGTGTATGGTCTGGATGAAAAGTCAACATTCGACTGTAGAATCCAAGTTTTTGAATATATTCAAAGTACGAAGCTTCCAAATCTGCATAGCATTACTTATCAAGTCCAAATATTACAACAGAAACGAGTTTTCCGCTGCCATTTATCAAGTTCAATAACCAGCTGGGAGTCATGAGAAAGTCATCCGAATGCCATCCATAAGAAAATATGTACATGTTTCTGGCAGAGAACCTGACATTCATAAAATGAACACCAGAGACATGAAGAGTACCAAAGAACCCACCATCGCAGTACTTGTTATCCCACAACAAAATTAACATCCACAGTGGATATGGGAGCTTGCAAATCTTGTCTTGAATGAGTGGACTTCAACGGATTAAAAGTCCAACTTCACAAAACGGAGGAATCTGTGACGTAACAAAAGTAAACCCACTGAAAGTGTCATAAAATGGGTTGGAAAAGTGGGGACACTAAATCTCTTCACACTGACAAGAGGAATGACATAGATGACTGACCAAAGCAAGCGACAGAATTGATCGTCAAAGACACGGCAGGAGATGATGTATCAGAACAGAAAAGACACAACAGAGCAGTCAAAGCAGAGGATCATCTCAAGTCAACCAGCAAGTAGACAAATCACGCCGTCCAGACAATGACATGGCCAGATCCACTATGCAGTCCAGGAGTACAAAATACTACATGCGGAGATGTTGACTGCTGATCAAGAAGTTTCCGATAAATTTATCCCCAGAATGTAGCTGTTGACACCGGAAGCTGCAGAGGAAGCCAGCACAGCATCAAAGCCAATCGTTATGAACCACTCGCCAATTTGTTCAGCGATTGTGCCTATCAAACTGGCGACAGACATCAAGAGATCAGTCCAATCCCACCAAAAATGTCAATACCAGAATAGACTTTGGCGTCCTTCAAACACCTGAAATGAACTTGAAAATTAACAACCTGCACTCCTTCAGCTAGATATTACACAAAGAAGCCTACATTTTCAAGTGGCCAATCAGTTTGACCCGGGACATCAACCTGTGTGTTTGCACACTGAACGAGCCACTGCACTTGACATAGTTGTACAAACTCTTTTCGGCTACGCTTGGCAGTGGGCCAACAATATCCAGGCAATAAAAGTAACTGTTAGATCAGCAGACCGGGCCATACAAATAAGCAAGACCATTCCATGGTTGACATTAGGGGTTCTGCAACTTTGAGGAGAGACATTAAATCATGTGTGTAGCATTTGTCACGTACAGCGTATGGATACTTGTGGCTAGCTTCACAGGCACAAAAGAAGGTACCGGCCACCTCCTATAGCCACCTGCTCCAGAAAATCTTGACTTGTTTTTTTCTTCTTCATAGAGCTTTTTGGAAAGGAAAGAAATTTTATCATGCACATCTACATACAGTGTATATCTCTGCATTCATTTTAAGTTTAGGAAGATACTGATGTTCCTTTCAATGCTGGAAGAGACACTTCAATTTAATAGAAATTCATCCTCCGTTGCCCGCATGAAATGAAAATGCACACTGGATTTTTCTTTACACTGAAATGTTTCCTTAATAAAATAATAACAATAATAATTACACTTTAAACTTGATTGCCAGTGGCACTTTACAGCATTAAAACATGCCAAAGGAAACTACAAAGACAGATTATAAGTACAGACAAAAGGCACATCAAAACCTAACCCTTCCCCCTTGTAAAAATCATCCAAATAGGTTGGTTAAAAACTCTTTAAAGTCAGTCAAAGAGGAAGTTTTACAACAATAAAACATAAAGAACAATCAGAGATCAGAAATTAAAAACATTAACACACTTTACAACTTTAGCAGAACATACATGTAAGCGAACGCTTCTTTGAAAAGAGGGGTTTTAAGATTTGCCTTAAAATCAGTAAAAAGTTTTAACTTGTCTCTGATGGCACATGCAGTTCATTCCTTGAACAAGCTTTCTTCCCATCCCCCAAAAAACCTCCCCTGGCCACACCCTCTCCCAAACTTGCAACACCTACAGAACTCTTTTCAACATGGGTGTGTATTATCTAACGGTACTTATCTGCACAGAGCCTGTTGTATATGTCAACAAGAAATGAAATCCTTCATGTATGTGCTACATTTCCTATCATTTTAACCACAGTTGAACGGAGAAATTCATCATTAAATCACTCCACGTGAAAATATAACCTTGAAATTCTATCTCCTTTTTTCACCTGTAGCTGCAATCATGTAATGCATCTAAATCCCTCTGGGAACAACTTGAGAGGCTTACAAATGTCAGACTGTCATCTTGATGAAAACACACCATAAATAACAGCCTTTTCCTTCACCTTTGGAAATAGAAAGGTCATTGGAAGAAGCGTGGGTGAACACTGAGTGTCAGGGACAGGTGATGTTGAGAGGAAAAAGCAATCCACTAGGTGTACTCCCCCTATACAAATTGCTCACAAATCTACTCTTTTGAAATAAACATAGTTTAAACACAAACTCTTATATGAAATCACCCCCCCCCAAAAAAGAAACTGTTCAAAGTATACTTCTGAGCTCCCACAACCAACATCCACAGTCACACAGAAGTCTGACAAATGCCCTCATTTTATTTCATCTGCAACTTCTGTCCTAGGAAGTTTATTCTAACAGACTAAAATTGCCCCAAAATCTTTCTCAGCCTTAGCAGCTGTCAGAACCCCTCCTAGCTGGTTCACAGGACATCAAAAAATGAAGTGGAAACAACTTGCTTGTCAGTAAACAATGTCATTATCATTATGCTACTGAATGTGACCCAAGTGCAAGTCAATTCTGACCTAACCTTAAATGAGACAAAAGAGGGGGTGGAATCTGCCCCCGAACATTTCCTGCAACAGTGTCAGAGTGCATGTAGTCCACGCACTTTGCCTCAGTAACAACTTGCAGTCATTTTTGGCATCACTTTTCTGAAAATCGGACATACTGTCCCTGCACATTGCACACTTTTTTCAGAGACATGTAAGCCAAAACCCAATACTTTTTCCACTGACCTGCTCCACGCTTGTGGGCCAAAACGAGTGAGGCCATGAACTTCAAATGACCATAACATCAAAACCCTACATCGCACTGCATTTCAACTTCACCTTTATACGGATAAGCGTCTGCTCGTTTCAAAACAATCGGGCATGTGACAGCTTACCCCCCCGCTATGAGATAAAATACAAGTCCAAAATAACCTGGTTCTTTTGGGGTTAACCCCTTGACGACGGGAATTTCTTCCCGAAAGCCGACTCCAAGAATTCCAGCCTCACTTGGCCATGAAGGCCACCTGCCAAACCGCAGATTCTTGGTCTGTAGCCCTGCGTGCTCTGCACGCTTTGAATTACACGGTGAAGAGGCTGATTGTTTGGTGACATGCGGCTCTACTCAAGCTTCCACATTCCCATTGCCTCTTTTCAAAGTGGGGACTATTGTGAAGCTGGTAATTATGATGCAAATTTGGTCTTTTCATTTCTGGGCTACGCACAAAGACTAATTACCATATACACAAGAGCCAGGGTCTGCCTTCTTTCACCGTGTTCGCTCATGTGTGGGCTGAGAATAATAGCTGAAAAGCGGGCTGAGGATCTCAAGGGGTTAATTAAAGGCCTTGACAGTGTACATGCTTGTGTTGTGCATCTTATTATGTTGAGGACTAGCTTGCAAAGAAGATGAGGTTAGGTTTTGGGATAACAAAATAAATTTTGTCACTCACATTAACCACTTGCTGCCGGGGAACCCCGTTTCGAGCACCATGGGTTTATACACAGAGTTTGGATGCCCAAAATTGGACAAAAGAGCTGGTCTGTGTAACAAAAGGCAGTACTCGGAACAAAAGTTCTGCTGCTGAGAATTGCCCTCATTTTTCGGCTTGCATTTTTCAAAGGTAATCCGTCACTGTTTTTAAACAGTATACTACTGTTTTGGGCGCACAATGGACAAAAGTGCTCCAGGGCCCCATTGATGAGCGACACGGCACCCCTGCACGCTAATCCAGGCACGTTTGAATAGATACCACACGCATTTACAAGGAACAAGGGAAATTAAGCATCGCCTCACAAATTCTGGGCTCTCTTTACAGGGCGGCAGGCCTGGCTGAAATACTCAGAAGTCAATGGAGGTTGCCTGTCAGCTTAGAGTAGCCACCAAACAGTCATTCGTATGGGTGTAAACATCCATTAAATGAAATGAAGAATTTTTGAAGAATTTTGAAAACTGAAAATCTTGAAAATGGCCCGTATGTGTGCACTGCATTTTTAAAAGCACCCGGCAGCAAGTGGTTAAGAACACTATTATAGATGACTTTAAATAGGACATACAAGTTGACATAATCTTTCCTGTGCCTAACAACTGAGATAAAACTGTAACGTGGTTACCTTGGCAAGCTGTTCCCTGAGTTGGTCTAACTCCCTCTGGATATCTTCCCTGGCTTTCTCTCTCGCCTCAGACACCGCCTCCACTTTCTCCCGACCAGCGGCCAGATTCTCCTCCCGTAATTTGTCCAGTTCCTTCAGGGTTGGGAAACGAGAGACGATAAATCTTAACTGATTTGTTCCTTGGAAGGAGGCAATGGAGAAATCATCTCCTTGTGTATGTAACATGTGGCCTCAAAATCTTCAGAAAAAGGATCATTTTACTCTTTTGACACCTGGACAGAACACCCGATTTTATGGCATTCGACTTTTGCAAGAATGCAAAGGTCTCAATAGAATCGCCCCAAAACTGTTGTCGGGATGTTGGTTCATAATCCTCCAAGGATAATTTACTGATTGTCATCAGTGTATGATTTTTAAGACTAACTCTCCATCCCCAGGGTGTATGCAAAATCAGAATCGAAGGATTGAGGACAGTAGGGGCTAATGGGCGAGTAATAGTCCAAGACTGATTTAGTCAGAAACGCCTGGTTTGGAAACGATGTATCACTCATGTTCAGTTGATGGCTTGTAAAAATAACCTCTGCTGAAGTAAATCAAACTGGAGGCAGCAGGAAAATACTTTTTAAAAACTTTACCATTTTTAGATCTTGAAATACATATTAGTTCAGTCTGTAACCTGGCCCACTTTTGGAGGAGGAGTTTGTCTGCTGTGCAAAGCTACAAAGCTGGACTAGGTATAGACAAATGATCGAGACCAGATCTCTTAAAGTGACTCCTGCTGCCATTTTAACAAGAAATTCAGTTTTCGATTGCATAAGAAGAAGCAGGCTGAGCAATGTTTTGAGACATCAACATTTGGTATCCTGATGAAAAAGGGGCATTGGGTGGCTGAAAAATGTTGAGGGGTTTATAATTGTGCAAATTGTGCAAGATTATTTCAAAATGCCTTCAAGTCAAAAGTGCCTCCGCTGACTTGCGACTCATTCTGTGCGGTCAGGTCACATTTTAAGGAATTTGGTTAACATCGGGACCAACCTCCTTCAGGACACCGACTGTTGTCTGCATCTGCTCCAGCCGTTGCTTGGTTACGTGCAGCTCGCCTTGCAACCGCGACGTCTCCTTGGCAACCTCCAGCTCCTTCTCCACATTCTCCTCTCTCCGCCTCCGGGTGTACTCCTCCTCCATCGCCCGCCGCTCTTTCTCCACGGCCGCCTGGACCTGGAGCAGAGGGACGGCAGTCAGTACAAAGCTTGGCAACAGGAAGTGCCTTTTCTGTATTGTTCTCATAGTTGTCAATTTGTGCCTGACAACAGACCTGGACTTGAAATTTTACGAGTCTGCAATGTTGCAACTACAGCCCTGTTTAATATCTCAAGGATGGACAGACCAAAAGTTGTTGTTGCTTTCTGACCGACTGTTACCAAATTTGGACATATATCCTTGTGTGGTTCCTTCTCCATACAGTTCCACTAGGGAAAGCTTTACTCCCCTGGACAATCTGACTCATTTTAATTAATTCTAATTTCAGTGTACCTGCTCCTCTGCCTGTTCCCTGAGCTGCTGTTCCATCTTGTTGGCTTCCTCCGTATGCTGCACCAGCTGCATCTTGACTACATTCAGGTCTTCCTCTTTCTCCTGCAGGGGGAGGGAGTGTGTTGGATAGCATGTGGGTCCAAAAGTGTGACATTTTGGTGTCCCTGTTACACCTGACCCGTGTGATTTGGCATGGAAATATCACTGAAATTGATTTCAAACTATTTCTATTTGTTTGACAGGTAATTGGCATTAATTTAGCACTCTTAGAAATTAGAAAATGAGTTCTGAACTTACAAACTCATATGTCAGATGTGACAGGGACAGAAAACATTTGGACCCCTAATTTATAAAATGACCCAAGTTTTAATAATTTCTGTATTGTTTTCACAAGATTAATCACATAATAATATTCTCTTTGTAACCCTGGTAATTTAAAGACTACTGAATATTTTTGAGGACTACTGAATTGTAAACTCACTGAAAGTGAGCGCTGAGTGATCCTCATCATCTCTGAAGTTTTCTGGTCCAAAGCAGTGAGTGCTTCCTTCTTATCCTTCTCAAGACTCAGTTTGAGCTGTAGGATGACGAGATGCCAAAACAACAGTCACATCAAATGATAAAAGTCAAACATATAGTTTATATGGTGTAATATACGGCTTGTCTTTGTCTGCACAAGATATCCCAACCAGCGTTGTAGACAAGTGCCTAAAAAAAACTCCAAAGTCATAAGCGCCCAATCTAAATAAAAGCAGCAAACTATCAATGGTGGCTGGGGGGAGAGAGGACCCAAAGGGCCTAGTCACAACACAACGGGATGAGGTTTAATGAACTGTCTATTAAAACCTGATGCCCGGCAGTCTCATAACTCCCCCCCCCCAACTTTGAGAATAATTCCACTGCTGTTGCAAACTGTTCATATATTAACAGCAACAAAGGCACTTAAATGAAAGTACCGTGACAGCACTTGGTATGACTTATGAAAAATATTAACGTAAAGTACTAGTGGGATACTTGACTACCACACTGAAGTACTTGTAAAATACTTGACTAACTACATTGCCCAAATGTACTCATTCCATCTCCTCCTCCCTCTACAGTGATTCAACTATGCTGCCACTTGTGAATGTGCGTGTAACAGCACTTGGTACTATGGTACTATTTGGCACACCTAAAATTGTAAAGAACCCAACTACAACACTGAAGTACTTGTGAAGCACTTAACTTGCAACACTGCCCTAACTCACTTGTTCAATCTCCTCTTCCTTCTCCCTCAGCAGTGCCTCCCTCAGTTCCACCAGTGCCAGTTCCTTTGCCACGTCGGCATTCCGCATCTTCCCCTGGGCTTCTCGGACAACCCTCTCTGTCTCCCTCTGCCCTTCCTCTGCCTCCCGCTGTGCCGCCAGCACCTGGTCCCTCAGAGCATCGTTCAGCTTGTCCTTCTCCAAGACGGATGCAGCCAGGGACTGCAGCCGTTGGTCCTTCTCGTGGGTCTGGTGCCGCAAGGCATCCAGTTCCTTCTGGAGCTTGCCACTCAGCTGCTCCAGGAGAAGGTTCCTTTCCTGGAAGAAAAAAATTAAGCAAAATTAGGCAAAGAGCTTGAAAAGCGGGCATGAGCACTGCCAATATTGTTTGTGATTATTGTCTGGCACTTTAATTTTTTTCCATTTTATTTTTTTCTAAGTACATGCAATCATATTTTTAAATTCATATTTGAACTGTTCATCTTTACCCTTGGACCCCGGGGAAGACCATGAAAATATTGTGAAACGGGTTATCCTGATAAAATATCAAACATAACAAAATAAATCAATATTAAAAAACAATCAAAACATCTACTATTGCAAATGTCACTTTCAGGAACCGTTCCATATCATTGGATCGGCTGTGACCAAGCATCAATTTCTTACATAATATTTTTGAGTGAAGGTGCTTGTTTTCCACACTGGATATAGACTTTACTGACAACTGAAAAGTTCCTCTCCCTACTTTACAAATGCTGCATAGAAAATCAGTTGTGACTACTCCTTTTAATAAATAATGGTGAAAGTGTTACACTGGGCCTCTTCTACTCTTCAGGAATCTCAGGTAAGAAGGCAGCGTAACCACAAGGTTACAGTCCAACTAAGAGGCAGCAAGAAAAGCGCCACCTGATGAAGACGATGCACAGACAAAAATTCAGAGCATCGGTATAAAAAAATGCCAATTCTCGTAAGTTTGAATGCGAGTCCTTGCACTCCAAACGTACACATTTCAGACATTCGTTATTTTCCTCTCAGATTCTCAGCTTTTTGAACTTCTTAAAAACTTTTCAGTGGCGCAAGTTTATGTCCGAGGGGGGCCCTTTACAGATGAATCTATCGTACCGAGATTGGAATAAAATCAAATCACATCAGATAACTACATTAGGGGATAATTCAATTATACAGCCAGCAGACAGACTGAAGCTACCAAGGTATCTGATTGGGCCCTACTTCTCAACATCTACCATAGACCACCCAGTATAGTGCATCAGAACAGCTAAAAAGCTTATTAGATTGGTTTACCTCTATGTCTGAGTGCATTCCATCAGTGTGCTCCGAGCCAACCGTGGCCTGTAGTTCCTTCACCTTCTCGGCAAGGTTGGTCTTCTCCACCAGCAGTTCTTCAATGGTATGGCGGCTCTCTTCCAGCTCCTGAGAAAAAGAAGTGTACTTTGGGAAAGGAACACAAGATCCGTTGCTGCAAAGTGCACCATCTGCTGACCCCAGTTAATTTTTGCTTGTGAAAGATGTATAGTCTACGCTTGTTCTTAATTTTTTCTCGTGGAAAATGTGAACAGACTATTTACCACTTCGTGCCGGGGTTCCCAATACCGGAGGCCTTTGGCTTATATGCATAGCCGGGGGGTGCCCAAAATCAGACAAAGGAGCTGGGCCTCGTAACAAAAGACCGTACTCGGAAAAAAGACCAAGATATAATCACCAGGGACAAAAGCGCTCCAGCGATGAGCGATACAATACCGCTGCACGGTAATCAGGTCACATTTAAAAAGACATCAGCAGCGCACTGGGCCGATATCGGGAACAAAGGAAATTATGCAATACCGCACAATCTGGGCTCTCTTTACAAGGTGGCAGGCCTGGCTGAAAAACTCTGGCATCAATAGATGTTGCTTGTCAGATTAGAGTAGCCACCAGACGGTCATTCACCCGGGTGTGAATGTCCAGTCAATGAAGTTATGAATTTTTGAAGAATTTTTAAAACGGAAAATCTTGGAAATCCCCCGGGAACTTGTCATGCAAATTCTAATTAAATCCGGCAGCATATGTTTAAGCATATTCCTTTTAGACAAAGAAAGTTAAGAGCACTGTATACCACAGTCATCAATCTTAGACTGTACAAGGGAGCTGATCATGTTGGTAAAGTGTACAGGAAATACGAAAAGCTCAAATTTTTTCTCAAGAACACTAATACATACTTGAACAAAAATCTCGCAGTGATGCAGTGGACTACATACACAAGTGAACCCTAGTGAAGAATAAAGGAGAGACTCTACCAAAATGCTAATGCCATAGCTACATGTACCATTTGTCTAAACACCACATCAACCAAAAAGAGGTGAGGACTGCATTTTCAGAATTGACACAGGACACGGTTGCTAGGGTAGGGTACTCAAGAGCCCTAAGTCAACCCTTTGTGGAGTTCACAGAATGGGTCACCTCAATGAGCCACATTCAATATGCTGTCACCCCTAAGTCAACCCTTTGTGGAGTTCACAGAATGGGTCACCTCATTGAGCCACATTCAATATCCTGTCACCCCTCAGCAGTGACATGACTCGTCTTACCTCCTGCAGGGATTCTAACTTCTCCCGGGACGATTTCTGCCCACTGAACAGCTCCTGCTTGGTGTGGTTGAGCTGCCTCTCCAGCTCCGACCGCTCAATGGGGGACAGGTCTCCCTCGCCGTTCCGCAGCCTTGTCTTCAGCTCATCCCGCTCCTTGATGACCGCGATCACCTGCAAAGCCATGTTAAGCAGGGGAGAACATGGAGGAATCACTGCGCATGACAAAACATCAGTAGGCAGATAGCTGAAGTAACGAAGTTATGAAAACATACACTATAATGCACACTATGTCAGGATGCCATACTGCCATAAACTTTTCATACAGAAGTAGTTGATTAGACAAGTTATGAGCCGTACATGCGCATTCGTCTATAGAACTTCTTTCAACATATCAATTTGATCAGAATTAGTGATAATCCTGCTTGGCAAATAAATTGCCCAACCCACAAAAAAAAATTACAAAGACCGTAAAATCAAACTTATATGTTGAACTAACGTTTAACATTACTCAGTGCTCTGTAAATATATGAATGCAGAGTTTGACCTTCACAACAATGCACAACTTTTCCAGTGCATTCACTGCTAACATCTTGTGAAAATACGTGCATCGGTATGTTACTGGCAGATCTACCTCTTTTGGGGATAGCCCAAGCAGATTAGTGCCTGTACCAGCATTTACTTCTTCGGTGCCTCTGTGACTCTGTGACTGCTTGATGGATCCAATGGACTTGGTCAGGTCTTCCAGATCACGCCGGGCCTGATCTCGCTGGTACTCTAAGACCATCAACTCCGACCTGGCAGATGAGAAATATTGATCATCAAATATCTACAACCAGTGGCATAACATTTTTTATTTCTCTAATTTCTGAGTGCGAAAGTGATAAACAAGGGTGAGGAGAAGGCACAGGCCTCGAGCGGGAGGGAGGGAGGCTCTGCCCCTAGTGACCCCCCTTAGTTACGGCTAGTTACTACTGCGTCTGATAGTGGTCTATTTAAATTTCACCATCAATGCAAGCATACAAGGGAAGGTGGGATCTTCCCTATCAACGAACACTGTTGAAAGCTGGTTCCCTGCCCCCTCCATTAAATTTTACATTCAAAAGGAGTGAGGCTGGAGTCCATCTATGATTACGAGAGAATTGTCACTTCACTGCTTCACATGAGACATATGCTTTATATGCGTGGCTAGGGTCTCCGAACTCGGACAAAGGAAAAAGAGTCCTGTAACAAAAGACCGTACTCCAAACAAAAGACCATGCAGCGAGGCATTATCGTCATTTTTACTTTCAAAAGTGGTGATAATCCAACCTTGTTTTGAAACCGTATACCAGGGTTTGAGGCATTTATAGCGAGCGGATTACCACCGGAGACAAAAGCGCTCCACCACCGCAGTGATGAGCCACACAGCACTGCTGCACACTAATCTGGCCCCTATTGAAAAGAGGTCAGCAGTGCACTGAGCCAGGTTCATGAACTAAAGACAGTTACATAACACCGCACAATCTGGGCTCGTTTTACAAGGCTGCAGGCCTAGCTGAAATACTCGGGCATCAATGAAGGTCACCTGTCAACTTTGAGTAGTGCCTAAAGATCATTTCGTGCGGCTATAAACGACCTTTAGATGAAATGATGAATTTTTGAAGAATTTTGAAAACGGAAAAAATGATAATTATGCCGGCCCAGCATCATCAACATTGAAAAATGCCCGAGCATGAAGTGGTTAATACAATCAAATGCCACAAAATGTTATAGACTAGGAAAACACTCGGACTTGTAAGCTATGGTTTGCATTTTCGCCACTGAGTGAACCTCTTTTAAAGACATTCTGCTCACTCTTGGTGAGTTGAAAGAACCATGAGCAGTAATATGGACTTCCTTTACCATAGGTTTATAGTATTTCTACAAACGTTCTACACCAAGCCTCTTGTAAGTTAAACAACACACTTTGCCCTACTGATCTACAGAATGTCTGCCGACTAGGGCATCATTTCACTTTCGGTCCTACCTGAGGCCATCAGCTCTCTCCATATTCTCCCTAGCTATCTCCTCTGCTTTCTGGATGTCTCGCTTGTTACGATGGACAGCCTCACGGAGCCTCTTCAGATCAGTCAAGGCATCCTGGACACAAAAAATATGAAAGTTCAAGAATCTGGCACTCCCGCACGATTTTTTCCCCTGAATACTAGAGAGATTGCCCTAAGTCTGCGGGTTTTCAAACCTCAATTTTCAGTCCCGGGTTTGGCCTGAATTCCATGAAACTTAATCCCATAATTAAGATCATCTGGCACATTTTGCATCACACATTTGCTGCTGAAGAAACACTGAACTGTCTCATGTCGCGCCAAAATTTGAAATATCTGAAAATCAATCTAGAGCCAAGGCCACAGATTAACCAAGATTTTAAAAAAAATTCAAACCTGTTTTCTGGAGGATACCTCCTCAAAACTAGACTCCAGTTCATCCAGTTTTCTTCTCATCTTAGTCTCTGTCTCAAGCTGCAAAATTTTATTAACAAAACAGGAATTAAAAAATAAGTTTTCCCACATAAAAGTCCACTCTGTCCAGTAATGTGTCATAGAGCAAATCACATTGTAAATCAAGTAGTACCTGAAACCCCTCCAGACCTGCATAAGAAAAACATTCATTTGTCATTTGCCCTGTCATTTGTGTCAGGTCTTGTGATGGGCGACTATGACGCGGCATTGCTTCACAGAAGATAAACTTCAAAAAGTCACTCACCAGTTCTCTAACAGTCGCTAGGTGGTCATTATTGGTTCCCTCCTCCACGTCTCCCTCCATCTCTCGGCCACTGTCTCCCTGGTGTCTGCCACCAGGATTTGCCTTTGGGGTTGATGTCTTAACTCTGCCATCCCACAAAAGTTTCTTTTTCCTCCTCTTGCTCTCCAGTTTTATCCTTGCAGCATCTCCTGGATGATGATTGTCGTTTTCTCTGGAGTATGGCTTGGCAAGACGATATCTGCTGTACAAAAAGACAGAACAAATGTAGAATTCCACAGCAGGAAACTGTCTGGCATCCTGAAGGTTACTGAGAGTTTGCCACACTTTCTTTCAGTAGTCGGTTCACTCATGACTTCATTACTGGGGCTAATTTCATAAATCTGCAAAAGAGAGACATTATGCTGCACATTGAGTTTGCTTGGCAAAAACAGATTCCCATCTGCAGAGCCATACACAATACAGGTTGCTGGCAACTGGTTCTCTGCTGAACATGCTTAGCACATAAGCTTGCTGAGCAGTATTTTATTTCCAGAGGCAGTGTGAAATTCAGCCCTGGAAATGGAGTGACTCGCAAGTGCACCATAGCAGCTCCTTGCTTGAATGACTTCTGTCAAGGGTTAGCTTCACAACCCAGGCACACAATAACCACACTAAATATGCACAATAACTAACACTGCGTATCCGCAGTAAATGAGAGACTCTATCGTGTCTACAGACCAATCTGGCAAAAAGAATTAGAAGCCATTACTGCGGGGCCAACAGGTGGTGCAAGCGTCACATTCCTCTCTGACCAATAGGGTCGTGACTCGCTTAAGCGCACACGCGAACTCAATTAAGACATGTGTGAGTGTGAAATAGCGCCGCAGAAATGGCGTCTCCTCAAATTTGTCTACAGTCAGACCTTGCTCAGTGATCTATATATAAAATATATTCAGTCTGACTTTTGAGTGACAAAAATGCCCCCATGTCATTTTTTCCATCTTCCAAACTCAACATACGATATAGAATTTGCCAAAAGTACCCTTTTCATCAAAACATATGGTCTTATTAAGGAAACTCGCACAACTCACACTGCAATATAAGTTCAATGTTGGAACAGACCAGAAATACAACTCCAAAGAAAAGAACACTATCAACCCCGCAAAAAAAGGGCGGAAAGAAACTAAAACCAAACCAACCTTAAACACAATAAAACAAACACAAAAGCCCGAATACACCCCCCCCCCCAGAAAACTACACGACTCCCAAACAAATTTTAAAAACACATAAATGCAAATAAAAGTTTGCCTGCTTTAAAACACCGAAAGATGGCCATCATAGTAAAAATCTATCTCATTGCAAATTTTGCATGCTTATCTTTGGAGGGGGGAGACATGCTATTTTCTCCTATTCAGTGTTGTGCACAAGTAGGCCCCTGACACTTCAAATTTAATGCAATGAATAAGTCTGACCTGAGAGGAATTGATAATGTTACCCTCTAGACTAAATTCTCCATTTCAGAATAAAGGGCAAAACTGATCTGAGAAACAAAGGAGAGATTCCTCCTAAAGTCTGACTGGAACCCTCCTTTACAGGGTATACCTTCTCACTTCACCCTCCTCCTCCCCTGGCTGTGACTCATTTTCATCAGTGCCCATGTTATCTCTGCTCTCTGTAGCTGCCGGCGACATCTGGTTACCAGGGGCTTCGCTCGCCAGGGCATCCTGCAACTGCTGCATGAGCTTCCCTGCCTTGCTGCAGATCTCCTCGAATGTCGGTGAGAGGCGGGACGCAGGGACAGGCGAGGGACAGTCTAGACTGAGGCTCGTCTGGGAGCAGCTCATTGAGCCGCCCCAAGCCGGCTGGGCGGAGAATCTCTGCCAAGCGCTGGACAAAGAGGGAATTTTAACTTCCGACCGGAAGGTCAAGATTCGGTGAGACTTGCATGTCTTGCTGTCATCCTCTCCGGCTTCAGCAAAATCAATCCTACCATCGGACGAGGTTGAGACAATCATAAATTTCTCACACTTGTAGAACTGTGAGTGAACAACAGCACCACACTGGGATGGACTGGAATTGCTCGTAGGCAGCACTTGCACAGACACAAAATCTGATGCTGGCTGTATTCTCTCTATATCCACTTCAGAAACACTGCTGCCAGTAGGGGAGACTAAATCAGGCTGAGAGTGCATTTCAGCACAGTCTAGTGGTGAAAGTAGGTCCTTTTCACAACTCCCCAAAGCATCATCAACGAGATCAAAAGAAACCAAAATTGACTGAGGACTTCGTTTCAAAATGGAGTGAGTCTCTTTCATAAATTCAGCTGCTTGTGCAGATTTATTTTGACCCTCTTGTTCTGTGCCTGTTTCTGTACACAGGTCAACTGTAGATTTGTCCTGACTATTTTGATATTTCTCATCATTTACATGTCCCATTACAAAGTCACAAGAGACTTGCAAGTCTGCTGTTTGGGGTACATCACCAGTATCAGTGAACCCTGATGGGACGGACATGTTTTGGTCCCTGCCTCCTTCACTCTTTGAATATTCAAGAGTCTCCTCTGTGACAGGGACCATTTCTTGGAGTAGTCCCACTTCTGAGTTCAACTGTGTTGTGCTCGGACTTGCAGAAAGAGGGTTTCCACTGATGGAGTCGGTCAGCGGACCAAAGGACGGCACTGAGAGAAAATTGGAGGATTTACGGCAAGTGGTCGCCTGAAATTGCCAACTCTTCCTCCTGGAGCTGGTTGTGATTTTAGGAGTGAAACCTGAGAAGTCATCAGCGGAAGTACTGGCCAGAACTGTGAAGTCTGACTTGCTCACTTCTTTGCAATCATCACTGCTTTCATCAACTTGAATGTTTGGCCCCACAACTTTTGTATCCACAGCTGAAAAAGTAGCTGTGCAAGCGCTGTTACCTTGAAGCATATTTTTATCCAACAGTTTAAAGGAATTTTCTGCTTCTTTTCTAACTAAAATATTTTTTGACATTTTTATGGTGGCTTTGTCAACAATTGGGACAGTGATGTCATTTTCATCTCTGGTGTTTACTTCCTCATAACCCTCATCATCGAGCATTTGATGTGCCCAATTCTGCTCTGGCGCAACACAATTTCTCTCCCCAGTGGAATCCAATTCTGCTGATCCCTTTATTCCAGGGATAGCTGGTTTTTCAGGAGCTGGCATTTTCTGCTCATTCTCCTCCTCACCCTCCTCGTCCCGGATGCTGACAAGGCTCCGCTGCCGGACATGGCTTTCCAACTTGGCAGCGACCTGCTGCAAGGTCTCCGTCACGGTCAGCGGGCGACGGAAGATGTCAGAACCCAGTGAGCCGAATCCCTCGGTGGAGGAACTGCTGCGCTCAGTGATGACGCGGCCAAAGCCCGACAGCAGGGGCTCCATTCCATCGCTGTACAGGGTGCTGCGCTCGCTGAGTGTCCGCAATTTCCTCCGCTGGTAACTCAGGTGAGCTTCCACGGAGGTGCTCCTCATGATCTGGGGCTGATCCAATCCCAGCTTCCATTCCTCAATGGTGTGTCTTTCTTTCTGCAATTGGTCCAAAGGTTTAGTGCCCTTTTCCGTTGGTCCTAAAGCAAGGAAATGGTTTGTAATTGCTGAGGTTAACTTCATTTCACGGGCTTGTAGCAAGCCACCTTCTGTTAATGAATCGGACACCTTAAAATTTTCAGAATGAACAGTGTCTCCCACGAGGATTCTTCTGTCTGGTTTGTTGGCTGCATCCTGGCCTCTATGAGCAATGTGATCAGTGATGAATTCTCCTTCGCTAGGTAATTGGCTTTCATTTCCTTGGGGGTTACACATCTTAGCATCCTTGGAGGGTTCATCAGCTTTTAATGAGGTGCATATGCCATAGCTCCCAGGATGACTGTTGTGCGGGCAATGATCATTATATTCCTCGTAAGTGTTAAATTTTTCCTCGCTTTTGCCGTCATCACTAGTGGAGATTACCAGTTCAGGCTGAACTACTGCTTTATTTAGAATATCATTCTCTGGGATGGGATGTTTGTTCAGAATGACAGCATCACTTGGGGCCCTCAGATTACCAGATTTAGTTGCATCATCACAAACAAATCCCTCCCAATCAGAGTTGGTATTATCTTGTAGGCATGATCCAGTAGAGTTCACACCAGCCACTGATTTATCCTCCAAACTCTCAGATGAGATTTCCTTTTTGACTTCTGTTTTTTCCAACTGTGCACTCTGAGCATCAGGGCTATCCTCATCCATTGGCAGATGGGAAAATGAATCCTGACTTTCCTTGCTGTGAGCGTTATTGTCGATGTGTTCGGCAGCTGGCATCATGCCAAGGTCAGATGTCTCATATGCCATCGGGGTTACTTCGGAAAAGGTGACTTTAGAGAAGCTCTCCCCATCGGAATATTGCTCTCCGTCCTCGTCCTCTTCAATGGTGGCATCAAAATCAAAATCAACGTTGGAATGGTGAGGGGAGGAGTAAAAGCTGTCAGCCATCTTGAAGGGGTTTCGGGATTTCTCGATCGGATTGGAGGCTAACTGCTCGAAGGTGCCAAAATTTTGATGCAGATCTTCATAATGGAAGAGGTTCTGACCTGCATTACCTGAGTTTTTGTTGTTGTCTGCTGTGTGAGGTATGTCTTGATTATCTTGACTGGTCATATCCATTACGGAGACTTGATCAGAGGGTTCCTGGGATGCCCCTTGCTCTTCTTCTTTCTCAGTTATGATTGACAGTCCTCCATCGGATATCTCCTGGCTCAGATTTCTGAGCGGCAGATCAGAGACAAGTCTATCTGCTGTGGTCATTACGGATTCAAGTGAGTCGCGCCTCTCCATGTGGCTATCATGATTTTCCTCGACTGCAGCTACAGTTGAACTACTTGGCATGACAAATATTTCTGGCGAGGAGCTGTGCCCATCTGAGTGTTCGCTAATCGATCCAAGGAAGGAAAGTGGAGAGAGTAGAGGGGAGTGCAAGGTGGGACTGGTCTGACAACAGGCTGAGACTGACTCAGAGATGACACTTCCCCCAGGTGAGTCAAACACATTGTCATCATCCTCATCTTCTATGATGGTCAGGTGAAAATCATCCTGGATATCTGCAAGTGAAGGTCCCCTTCTCTCACTGCTTGAACTGAAAGAGCGGCCCTTGACTTTTGTGTCTCTCATGTCAGTTTGAGGTAAGAGCTCTGAAGATACATGGGCATCGGAAGTGTCTGGTGTAGATTTTTCCAATGCAACAGGAAGCTCCTCTTTATCAGGCAACTCTTTCTGTGAGTTGAGCTGACTCTGGAAGCTTTTAATGGGGGAAGTCAAAAGACCTGATTTGCTTGTAATGCCTAGTTCTTTTGAGGGAATGGTCACTAGCAAACTATCAGATTTACTGTCTAGGAGTTCACCAGACCTGGCTTTCCTGAATTTAGACTCTGCAGTGGTGACTGTTGTTGAACAGGTGCCGCGCACTGTTTCATCCTCACTGCTCCGGGGTGAAATCTGTGGGCTTCCTGTCCGGGACGGCTCGTTTTCAAATCCTGAATCCTTGGAATCAATTATGGCTTTGACCACAAGGTACTGCTCCATGCTCACTTTGTGATCTTTCTTGTCTGTGTCAACATCAGCAATGGCCTCATCTACATCCACATCAGTTGTGCCTTGCCTGGACATGGCCTCCCGCGATTCGACACTGGGCTGCTCCATGACAATCTTCAATTTGCAGTGAAAGGCTGGCTCATCTCCCACTTCTAGACTCTGTGGTTTGAGGAGATGCTTCCGGGCACTGGGGATTTCATTTTCTGTTTGCTTTGATTTGACCATCCCGGGTTTAAAGCTCTCATCCTCCTCCTGAAGGGTCTCAAGGGAGATGGGCAGTGAGCTCTGCCTCTTCATATACTTTCTCCGTCTGTCCCTGGAACTTGATTTGTGGCTCTTGTGAAAGGGACTGTACTTCCCTCCTCCCGGTGATCTTCTAGCTGCGGGAGGCTGATCCCCTTGTTGGAGGGCTAAGACTTGATGGTTGGGTGGACCCTGCTTGGATATCTCTGAGAGCGTCTGTCCAAATGAGGACACAGTTGCAGCCTTTCTCAGAGAGCGTCGGAGCCCTGCTAGTTTTGCCTTATCAGCTCCCCGCTGCCTGCTCATGACAGCATCTTCCATTTGGTGTGAATTTGCACCTTCAGACCCTGTGGCATTTATTGAGCTTGATTTAGGGGAGCAGACTGAGGTGCTCGGTTGAGACAGGCTCTGACTAAGCCAATCCTCTTTCCTTGCAGGTGGAGACTTTTCTTTTGGGGAAAGTGCCCTCTCGGGCTTTGCTGGCAGATGCTGGAGCAGGTGATTGCCAGTTGTGTTGCCCAGAAGCCTTCGAACCTCCTCCATCCGTTGCTTGACCACCTGCTGCCTCCAGGACTTCAGAAAGCGATTGGGTATGCCAATGCTTGCTCCACCGAACCCTAGGTTTATTAGGACATTCTCTGCAATGGTCCATTCCCCCTCTGGATGGTGATCACTGCCCGTTGAGCTATGACTGCTATCCACACTGGCACACCGGGAAATCATGCTGACTGGGGAAGTGCTTTCCACCCGCAGCGCCAGTTCTAGGTCTGTCTCATTTGGCAGCCGCATACGGCGGCCGCTCCTCCCTGGGATCACGTCCCCACATTGCATGTTCAGTGCTGTCAGGGACCTCTCCTTGGACAGGGCACTGCTCTGCTGTCCCCCTTCTGGTGCCTCATGGCTTCTCACAGGGGGGTCCTCGGGCAGTCCCACGTGAGACCGCCTACGGGCTGTCTCCGCTCTGGTTTGATCCACCCACTTGGCAACACTGGAGTTCATCTCGTCTTCGTCATCCTCTATCAGACTTCGCCTGGATTTTCCCTTGAGGTGGCCCGATCTCCCACCCTCTGCAGAGGCAGATTGGGTTGAATCAGAAGTCAGTGAAGAGCCCTGATCCTTGTGTTGGCAATCTTGCAATTGTTCCTCGGTAGGGATGCCACCAGTCCAGGGTCCTCCATCCACTTGTGGATGGGACTGGTCTAGGCTGCTGGAAGTGCTTCCAAAGCTTTGCAGCCTGCTGGGACAGCAACTATTGTCCAGGGACTGGAGTGAAGAGCACTGGTGGCTGTGTAGGCTCTCAACTTCCTCGTAAGTGGAGAAAGAGTCTTGGCGCTGGGCGTTCCAGGCAGCTGCCCTCTGCCGGCCCACTGAAGGGTCTTGCCATGATGGGAAGTTGGGTTTGTCGGTTCTGCATTGAACAAAACACAAAGACACAGAAACAAATTATGAAGGCATGCCAAAATCGAAGTGTAATAAACGTCAGGTCATGACACAAATGCCAGTACCTTTCCAACAAGTTTTCATCTTCTTCTGCACAGTGCATACCTTCAGGCATGTCCTCAAGTNTCTGACACTTAAAGCTGCAACCCCCCAGGCACCCGAGCTACGACCACATCTGCTGTCAGAATATGCTCTCATTTATATGCAAACAGCAAAGAACTACACTTTGCTCTACACATGGTGTAAGTCTATCTGAACTAACACAAATGCATTGCAGATAAAAGAACTCACAATGACTACCAGGTACGATAAAATTCACCGAGGAACTAAACACTCTCCAATCAAAATATTTGAACATAAAATAAAAGAAATGTTACACATAAAACTGGTGCAAAATGCTCGCTGGCTACAGTGATCTAAAATGCACAACCAAAACAGACGCCTCCAAATTTCTAATCCAAGCCGAATCTTCCTCAAAGGCAAACTGACATGTCAAAATGAAAAAATAACAGAGGAGAGAAAAAAATCCCAAAGACACATCTCATATTCTGCAAATGACCTTCACTCATTTACTTTTAGAAGTTTGTGAAATGTACACGAGGCTGGAACCTTCCCCAAATTAGTGACACAAAAACTCCAATTAGGTTGACAGGCCTTCACTATAAAAGGAATCGATGTTAATGTGAGTCTGGGCCCCACACGCACACACGTGTGTCACCTCTGCCCTCCCTCCTAATGGGTGAATGACCCCCAACACAGGATAAAAATCGCATCACTGAAAAAGCTGTTTTTCATGAGCTGCCACTTCTTCCGAGACAAACATCTGATGAACAATGACAGAGAATCGATCTGGGATAGGTGGGATTATTAAGTTACTCAGCAGTGCCTGTAAACTCTGACAGTTTTACACAAACACACTCAGCTTGAGCATTCTTGTGTCAACAATGAATAGATTGGGTACAGACAGACCAAAGACTTTCGGTTAAATCTCTGGCCTGTAAGGCATCCTCTCCAAAAAATACATTTCTATCTGAAGCGATTAGGTTCTTTCTTTTTTTCAACAAAATGTTTTTTTCCTTTTTTTTGGACAAGATGTTTCTTCAAGGGAAGAGAGCTGAGCTGCAACTTGATGCAAAAGGACACAAGCTGGCAATATCGGTACAAAAGAAGTTGTTTCAAAGACTTGCGGCTTCAAGCCTTCATAAATGAATGTAATCGATTGCATTCAGACATTTCTCTGGTTTGATCGGGAATTGCACGCGGATATCTTTTAAAAGGTTTGACAACAAGCAATTTGTTATCAGTAACAGATTGCCAACTGCAAATTGGATGGCAAAATATTTACGGGTATATCTGTGGGTACAAAGTAGACAAGTCCTCTGCTGTTACAAATGAGATAAGAAAAAAGGACCTACATACGTGAATTTACATCACATGCATGTCGTACGACCAGATATATTCCATGTTTGAAGGATGGAAAATCCCACCCAGCTAGAAGTCCGTGGAACTCTGAAAAGTACTTAAAAAACTAAAACTCAATTAAAAAAACACCCAAAACTTTATGTTCTAGTTGAATTTCAAGACCTTTCCAAGATTGAGACAAAGGGAATGTTAAGAAATATCAAATGGCCCATTTATTGACCCTCTTTAGGGAATCTTCTACTACAGAAAAATGTGGAAGACTACAGCACAGTACTCAATTTATAACATACATGGGTGATGAATTGGCTTCTACTCCAACCATTTACTTCAATCCTGGACATTAAACCCAAGAAAAAGTAATAAAAGAAAGTGATTAATACTGAATGACAGGCAATTCAGCTGAATGAAATGAAATAAAACAAAAATTGCTGAGGATACAGCTCGTGGAATGCATCAGTTTAATATAACTAGACTGTCTATTATTGCCATCTAGCAAAAGGAAGGAAATTAGGGTCACTTAAGTGCTGATGAGTGGAAGGAGTTGTTGGGATGTTTTGTGCCATTAAATATCGCTACTACAATTCTCCACATTTATCTCTCTGTCCAATAAAGTTTGTGTACACCGAATACCCAGAGCTGCACATACACCTTTACGACGTATGCCTCATTAAATATGTTTGTTGAGCGTTGACAAGGATCCTCAACCAACAGCCAACACAGAGCAGACTGGAACAAAATTGACAACAAACTGAAATGCATATACATGCACATGCATACCATCCAGTTGTCATTAATTCCTTCAGTAGGTTGACCACACCCACCTGCCCTCCAACAAACATTAATTGATTTGCGACACACTCTGCTACACTGCTTTCTAATCAGCCAGCTAGCCCCCCCCAGCTGTTGGATGTCTGCACTAATGAACAGGATGTCATGGGTTAGAATCCCACCCAAGCAAAGTAAGGTTGCGAACTTCCTTTCCCACACTCTCATGCTTTACCAAGTGTGCAGTGCTCATTTTGTCAAAAAGCTATGGCAAAATTTCTGTCTAGTGAGTTGTGGACAGTAAAAACACAAGTGACAAGAATTTGCTGTATTGCCCAAGATGAATCAATACTTAACATCACGTTTAATATGTTCTGTTACCTCTTCCCCCAAACAAGACAATGACTCATTTATCTTCAATAAATAAACTGCCCGGTAACATAATTGTACTTAAAAATTGATTTAATTTGTCTTATCTATAGTTAACCTTATTTTGGAAAATTGTTGGTCCATTCTTGAGACAACAAATGTTACGATTTCCTTTCAATGTGTGGCACTATTCTGATTCCAAGTCGATATGGCAGCTATGCACTGAGCCATGTAATCCGCTGTCACATAGGTAGATGACAGCAAAGCCACATGAGCACACAGTCGAGTCCTGGATGGCCTCGTGTTATGATAATCACTTCTGACACAGGTTCGGAATCGATTGGTTGGAAAAATAAATCCACTGCAGGGTATGATAAGATAAGGACGGAGTTACCAGATTGTCACTGCCGATAATGCATCTGCAATCTAGTTGCCCAAAGGAGGAGATATACCAGAATAGAGTGGAGAGAATTTTTTTTTTCTCCAAGCGAGGTTACAGGTATTGATATCTGAATGCAACACTTCCTGGCCGCTGTACACAAATCCGTCCCAATCTGCCCAATGCTGGGACTTACTATGTGAAGTGTAGAAAGGTGTAAATCCCGGAAATCAGTACTACATCACATACAAACTCTGGCAAAGAATGTCTGATTAGTTTTGAAGAATCCATGCAGCTGGAAATTTAACTCTTATTCATCATGGTGGCGGTAAAAACAATACCAATCTATTTCAATTTTTCCTGGAATGGACCTTTATGAGGCACAACTTCTGAGGAGTATCGGGAATAAGAGAGACGGTAGCTGTACGCAAACATCTCCAGCCACGAATTGTTCAATTAAAGCAAAGATGCACTGGAACTGTAGGGAAATGGTTAAATGGAACAAGACAACATGATGGAAAAACACATTGTCAATTTCCCACTCTTGAAAACCTGTGCCCACGCAGTGTGGACTGTGTACACTGAAAGATTGATACAGGACCAAATTTTTTTGTGGGGGGAGGGGGTGAAGGGGACCCATGGGGGGGAGGATTTGAGCATTTCTTTATGTATGGCCTTTCTGAGAGGTGAGGCTATATTGAGGGGCTTTTCACATACTTTGGGAGAAAAGAGAAGTGAAAAAGTCCAGCAAATACCTTTCATGTTTCAAAAACTAACCCTCTTTTCTTTTAGAGGGCGGGGTGGGGTTGGGGGCTACCTTTGCTCCTCAGATCTACCTATGAACACACTTCACAGGCAATGAATGCAGGACTGCTCAACCACCAACTTTATCATCCATTCGTGCACTCTTCATTGCTTATTATTCACAACATATTGCCGAATTTGGCATTTTATTTCCCTTTTCTTTCCAGATCTTTGTTCCATACATGTATGTTCAGGGGTGGTGAGGTGGGGGCAGAGCTAGCACTAGAGCTGGGGGAGGGTATATACTTACATCAATGCTATAGATTAATTTGAGGAACACTATCAAAGTGTTAGACACCACACGATGTACGCCAGGGGTGTGGGTGGCCGCATACAGTACTGGAAAAACTGACACAGCTAGCATTAAGCTGAAATGTCAAAAGTTCCCCTGATTTAGTTCCGAGCAGGTGTACAAAAAAGTTGAAATTCAGAGTAAAAATCTCTACTCCCAAAACCTGAAATCAACTGCAAAGCTGAAATCTCACACCCCTGGCATGTGCATACCATGCTAACGATCATAAAAAAGCATTACTATGATGTGCAAGAGGGATATTTGTGGAGTAACGTGATAATGGCATTTACATGTAGGGTGGCGGTTTGCAAATAGACTGAGAGAATGCATTTTAAGAAAACACATTCAGTCTAAAAAACCAAAAACGATGGCAAGGTAGCAGGTGATATTCATCAGCGTATACTGCATTGTCCATTAGCTAGATCAGGTTATCGGATCTTTATTTGCCAGTGAAATTTTCTCTCACAGTGTCTTCCACCGTGCAACGTGACGTAAACTGTGCTGTCAAACGCAGGGCTGAAAATACCTGATTGCTAAACAAGTTGGACGAGTCCTTGTGTATTTCCAGCTTTGTCAGGATTTTGATCAGAGCTTTTCTTTTCCTCTGAAAGGAGAGAATTAATGCACTTCCAGCCAGTGAAGAGAAAAAAACCAAAGAAAAAAGCTCTTCATTTGTAAAAAGTTATTTGACTATAAAAGTCACGAACATGTAGCAATAGTCAGCAAACTACTTCTGCTTGTCAGTTCACCTGTTTTCAATGCCATCTACACGCAGGGATGTAGCTGGCAAAATTTGAGCTGCTGGAGATTTTGGGGGCTAGATGAATCAGCGACAAGAGTAAGTTCGCTTCTTCCCCATTGGCAAGCAAACAAGAACTGCCGGCCCAAAACAAGTGCGCATAATGATCAACGTTCTAAATTTAAAAAAAGGGGGGCA